TCCATGGATGATGTACCTGCTTGTAATGAGCTGCAGAGTAGCTAACGTGGCAGTTTGCTTCCCATTTGACCTGCAGGTAAATGAGGAAGGCAGTGAAGCCGCAGCAAGTACCGTCATTAGCATCACTGGTCGTTCGCTGAACTCGAACAGGGTGACCTTCAAGGCCAACAGGCCCTTCCTGGTTCTCATCAGAGAAGTTGCTCTGAACACTATTATATTCATGGGCAGAGTAGCCAACCCTTGTGTTAATTAAAATGTTATCCTTTGTACTTCTTCCTATTTTGGTGTGTGAATACAAGTAAAAATAAATAAAACTATTCCCTTATCTGACTGGACTTTGCCATCTGAAATGAAGGCAAGGAAAGGAGAAATGGAGAGAGATGCTGCTGGGCATTTGGTGTAATGGAGCTTTCAACTCTTCTCTATGGGTGAACACATCTAGGTCAAGAAAGTGAAGGAGGGAGGAGCTATGTTACTACTTCATCTTGAAAGATAGTAGGCATCTTGAGAGGGCAGGGGGAGCTTGAAATCTAGATAATCCCTTTATACTAAAAAAAAAATCCAAAAGTTTAAAAAGACTTAATCTCTGTAATACAGAAGAGACAGAGATGCAAATCTGAATATTAAATCATTTAATTCTCAAACCACTCACATGCATAATGTTCTTTTACACAGTGTTAAAATAAAGAGGAAAATGTATTTTTATACAAACAGAATTTCAAGTATACATTAATAGACTTTTCAAATTACTAACCAAGTTGCTAAGATTTCATTCACATTGTTCTTAAAGCTGTTCAACGAGAAAGCTTTTGCTAAACTGCTTTAAATATGTTTATATAAACCCATATATCTTCACTCTTTCTCTGAATCTCCCTCCCCCAACCCCAGTCTCTGCCCACCCTCCTGCCCTCCCCCCTCCCCCGACACAACAGGGCTCCTGGGGCTCTAGGAGACATGCAACCCCACCAAGGAAGTCATCAGGGGAAGGACAGAATCTACAGGAGGAGAGACTTGAGAACACCTGTCAAATTAAGGGAGAGAACGAATCTGGTATTTAGAAATGACACAAATCAGGATCGTATTTTATAGCCTGTGTGATTCACTTGGCCTTTTCATTAAAAAAAAAAAGTCTCAGACTCCCACAAAATTACCCTCAAGTTTCTGATAATTTGGTAGCTGAGAAAATAATATTGGGGATATCCCCCAGTGAAACATCTCAAACTAGGGTAGGCATTTTGAACTTTTCCATTTGGTTGTTTCTTTTGCCCTTTGGCTGGGGGTGGGGGCAGTTTAAAAATGGTTGACTTGTGTGTTTACATTAAGGAATTTGGTTAATTTCACAGGGTCTGCTGAGGGTTCTCCCTCCTCAACTCTCCTCCTGAAGTAATCTGGCTTCGGGGCCAGGAACAGCCACTCTCCTTAGGAATTAAAGTGCATTTTTTTTTCAGTAAAAGTGGGGGTAGGGTGAGGTGTGGTTTACACTTAAGTGATAATGATTAAAAGAGGGTGGGGTGAAAATCCTATTCCTATATATAGGTATCTATAGTTAAGGACATAATAAAAACAGATATTCTCTAAGGAAATACGATGTACAAACCCAGTCCAGCACCCTCAGGGGCGTGAGAGTGCTAGCCTTGGCTCACTGACTGTTCTGAGACATCTTTATGGAGTAATCGTTGCAGACAAAAGACACAAACCTCAAGTGTTAGTTTTTTCAAAGGGAAAAAAAAAACAAGTTCTTCTAGTTAAAAACTCTATCTCATTCCCTTTCAGGGATAACAACATTTTAGAAACTGATTGTCGGTTTTAATATGAATCCTTGATTAACAAGTTGTGAAAAAAAATGTTAGATAACTTTGTTGCTTAGAAATATTATGCTATCCTTAGAAACTGAGGATGAGGAGGCATAGTTGGTCCTTGCTATGAATAAATATCATCTGAGGGGAAGCTAAAATGTTCCTGTCATCTCTTTAATAGCTACCACCAGAATCTTACTTTTCCTTTAAATGCTTTACTATTTCTTGGGGGGGGCAAACCCAAGAATTTTCCAAAGAGAAGTATATGCTACATTATTAGCTGTATGAAGAAGTGATGAGAAGGGGGAAATCGTCCTGGATTCTGGCCTCTGAGTCCAGTGTGATCTGCTTTTCACAGTGACCAGTGGGAAGGCACAGTGCCAGGGACAGGAAGATGGGAGACAGCTGTCACCCATCGTGTAAGCACCATTGAGAACAGCTGGACAGATGTCTTTGAGACTATGTCCATCTGAAGGAAACCATATTTCGGCTACATTGACTTTTCTATCTTTGAACCCTCTGTCTTTTCTTCTCAGACACAGAGCGTAAGTGGGTCCCACCTGAAATTATGAGAAGCCAGGAAATCTAAGTGGCTTGCAGGATCCTATCAGTTCCTCAACCAGGGATTGAACCCCAGCCCTCAGCAGTGAAAGCATGAAGTCCTAACCACTGGATGGCCAGGGAATTCCCTAAGTGTTCTTTCAACGTACTTCTCCCTTTACTCACTTGTGCTGACAAGCCAAAAACTGAGAGTTCTGATGTTAAGATTTCTTAAAGGAGAAGCCAATAGTTCCTGACTCATGTGGCAGATCTAAGTTCTGCCATTATATTGCAAAACAATGCAATAAGCTACAACAGTGAACACAGACCATAAAGGATGAAAAGTTAACATACTGAGACTTTTTTTTTTTTGCCTATTGTTTGGGTATGTTTTTCTCTTGAGTAAGGGAATGCGGCAGGGTGGTGAAACTGCAGTCTAAGACTAGTTTCTGTTTAGCTCTTTCAGAAAGGATTTCTTAAGAGGTTTAAGAGGAATCAGCAAGCCAATCAGTAGGATAGAAGAATTTGGCTGAACTTAGTCCTGACAGAGAATTCCTGATAGGGAATTTGTTTCATTACTTGTGTAAAATATAGTATAAGTTTATATATGTATATATATATAGATACTTTACCATTACTTCCCCCTTCTCCTCTACTCTCCTTCCCCTAAATCTTAAAATCCAGTGCGATGTGATCTGCATAAAGTTCAACAACATTTCACAGTACTCTACAAGGTTTCTCAGTATGAGAACCCTAATGGGCTACTCTCTGGATGCAGACAAGTCTCAAAGGCTACTGCTTTTCTTTCCACCCAATGTAAGGAAGCCTTCTCAGATCTTCTGAGGCATAGGAGGCATTTCTGACACTGCAGCATATACATGCTAAGCAAATAAGTCAGGCCTAAATGTTATTTTAATGAAATGTCAGAGTCTGATGCTAATTCAGTCCTCCGCACTTAGAATCTTTCCTTCCACCCACTTGTTTCTTCTCAAACACACAACCTATTTGAGATTTAAATCATTGATTATTTGCAGGCAGCACAGGAATGAGTTTCCACAGTGCCAGCAGTCTCTCAGATGAGACCGTCACGTTTGAACTTGCTCTTAAACACAAATTTCTTTCATGAATTAGAAATCACTTGGTAATCTATTAGTTTGAATGGTGGCTCTCACTTTTTAAAGGATAATCAAATAGTCCTCCTCTCCCCATTACCACACTGAGGTTGCCAGCGGTAGGTATTTTACACCTGGGTGGGTGAATGAATCAACGATATGAAAACTTGTTTGGGAATTACTGGGTTAAGTCTTTGACATCCTGGAACAAAGCTGCTAAAAGGATTCATTTCACATTTCATATAAAACTCAGAAATATTTACGCCTTAGCTAGTGCATTTAATTCACAAAGGAGCATGGAAAAGCGAACGTCACTGTACACTGAAATCCCACTTAGAAGACAGGCTAAGGGACAAAAAATCAACTACATGACCATCATACCAGGAAGGACCCTTCTATTTCTTCATTAACTTTAACAATGCTACCTGATTATTTTACAAATAAAAATCACCCTAGGTGGCTTAGGCCTGGCTCTTTTAATAAGTTCAAGTGCTCTATTTTAGCTAGCAGAGTTCTGAAAATCTCCACTTAAATCACATATGAAAGGGAAAGCGGATTCTAGGGAGCAGACTCAGAAAACGTCTTTTGCTGACTTGTTCAGGCTTTGGTACAGAGAGGAAAGTGGGTGCATGGCAACAGCTCTCTACTGAGTGACTCTGAGGACAGATGGACGGTCCAGTTTACCACCTGAGCCTTGGCCCACGCTAAGTTTTAAACTCCAAGCCATGCCTGTGACACCGATAAAGGTACCTATGACAAAAGACAACCGGGTGAAGGTTATGCTGCCACAGACCATTCCAGACTACCTAGAAAATGATTCTCAACCTTGGCTGCCCATTAAAATCACCTGAGGAGCTTTTAAAGCACCCTCCCAGACGTAAAAGCCCCAGGTGATTCTAATGTGCAGCCAAAATTGAGAACTACTTGTCGAGGTCAACTAGCTCTGTAGTATTTTAACAGAAAGCATTCAAGTCACTGTTCACCCAAGCCAGACAGAAGATAAGACTCTATGCTTCCTCCCAGATTCATAGATTGATTCAACATGCCTCCAAGAAATGAACTAGGCATCTCTCACTTTTTTTGTTTTGCATTTCAATAAATCACTTTGGCTGTAAAACAGACTGCATGGCTGACAGTGTATTACTGACTTAGGTTAAGACTGCACCTTAAGTGTGTGTTTGTAGCAAAACAGCTGGGGACAGGTCTAGGCCAAGACTCTGGGCACAAATAAAAGATAAGCCAGAAGGAAGAATTTTCCTAAGCAGGAGTTAATTCCTGAGTCTAGGTTTTTAGTAGCATGGCTTATAGGCTGACAATTATTCTATAGTTAGAAAAAAGATAGTCGTGGTGAATAGATTCACATGATTTTAGTATCTCATCTCCTTACAGAATTCATACTGTTACACAGATGAAGGTTACTATTAGACGACTAATACGTCAGTCGTCACCAATGAGTACTGCTTACTGAATTTGGAATTTCACACTGTCAGTACTGTCACTTGCCCTATCCAGTCAACAGGAAAGTAAACACTTATCAGTTAGTACCTAAAACATGGATGTGAAACTCAAAAGTCTGCAAATGGATCACTCTTCTCATTTTCACTTCTAACCAGTGCGAGTCCCTGTTTGGACCTCACAACCAGCCATTCTAACCAGTGCCTTTGGATGAAAAGCTGGAAAGCATTCTGGGATATTTCTGAAAGGCCCAAAAGTCCTTTCTCAACTGTAACAAATGTTCAAAAGCTAGTAACCTGATTTGGCTCAGTGGACTAGTGTGCCCCCAACAGCAAATCAGCTGAATGCTCCAACTGCATTTAAAGATTAGGTGGTATGCCTAGTGGCATTTACTACCGAAACTGAACTTCCTGACACCCACAATAGGCCATCCTAACTATTATAACATTCTTGGCATTATAAAGAGAAGAATTTTAGAGTGTCTAAAAGCAAAATAGGTCATCCAAAAATCCAGGTCATGCAAAACTGCATGTCAAGATACTGGCAGAAGGCTCAACATCAGGAAAATATGGTTGATAGTCCAGTCCCCAAAATGGGCTGCAAATGGCAATTAAAAAATAAAAAAAAGCTCAGGATTCAAACAAAATTTTCACATCATTAAAAGGAATTGAGTGCATCTTTAAAAACAGCAGAAAAACTCCACTTCCAAGGGCTACTCTTGCCAAACAGAGGCCAGTGGATAAAAGCACTAAACCCAAGTGTTCTGACACTGATTTGGGCACCAAAACCAAACATTTACAAGTGAAGATGACATTGAGAAGTGAGATACTGCGGCCTATTTCGGGTCTGGCTTTCCTGTGCTTGCTACAGAAAGCTACACTGTCTGCAGCCAAGTGCTCAGAGGTAGAGGAGCTAAAGCGAGTACAAAAGAGAATGAGGTGGACAGTGGCTGAGGAATCCAGCCTCCTGCGTAAGGGGCTACAGGGCAAACTTGGAATATTGTCTTTAATGGGAGGTAGAATTTTCTACACTAACTTATCTGCCTTCATCAGACATCTTTTTCTCACACACATGCATAAAATCACATACATATAGTGGGCAATTCATAATGATATTGCAACTTGCAGTGACTGCACACCTATTCCAACAGATATTTTCAACCTAAATTTTATATTAACCCCCAGCTTTTCTCTGGTAGATTCAAGCCAAATTTGTTCTTTTGAGAGCCCTCCTTTTGCCGGGCTTCTAAACATACATTTCACTTTAACGCCTACATCTTTTGTCGCTAAAGAACAGCTGCGCTAAGTGGGTGCAAAGTGTTATAACATCTTTATAAATACAAAGTGCGAGAAATAATTTTCTTAGCCAAAATACAAACAAAGCAACTAAAAGCTCTCATAGCCTACTATGCCAAGAAATTGATTTTTATAATCAATGATACAGCTAACAAAATGCTTCTAAAGCTACCAAGGTTATAGTGGATGAGTAAATATATTTATAAACATACATTTATGAAAAAAAGATATTAAGAAAATAGCCAAACTTCCCACAAAAGTTATTTGCATGAACTATCTTTAGTATACCACTCTGTTCAATGCACATGCATATACAATTGAATTATATTAGTGTTATTTTTATTGGCCCACTTTTCCAAAAAGAAAACAGGCTCACTTTTCAAGTTACATGATTTAAAATAATTTTTGTAAAAATAGCAAATACCATATAAATTTTACATATCTTTGCTATCTGACTGATAGCCATTCTCGAAGTGGATTTCAGCCACACTCTTAGTGACCCCTGCTTTATCATCTTGGCTTCCAGAGGAAACACATTTTAAGCTTTGTTCCCTGTGTTGTAATTCTGTTTTTGCAATGGCTCTTTAAGAACCACTAGTTAGGATTCTGTTAATTTACAGGAAACTCAGTAGATCATCTTCAAATATGTCAAAAACATCTGCTTTAAGATGTGCTAAATGCAGAAATCTAAACCACAGGAATTTCTCAGGTAGTTGTTATTAGCTTTAATGGTTTAGACTTATGATGCTGAAAAGAAAAAATAAGTATTTTGTCAATCTACAGGTTCCCTTTCTTCTTTGTCCTCTTTTTCAACTTGAGACCATAGTACAGTGGACCCTTGACCAACATAGGTTTGAACTGCACGAGTCCACTTATACCCAGGTTTTTTTCAATAGTAAATGCTACATTACTACACCTCCAGCAGTTGGTTGAATCCCCAGATACAGAGGAACCTCAGAAACAGAGGCCCAATTATTAAGATATAGGCGGATTTTCCACTTGGAGAGGGTTGCACTCTAACTCCCACATTGTTCAAGAGTCAACTGTACTTAGTTTTCGTGCAACCACCAGATGATTTCAAATTTAAGAGTCAGAGAATCTAGAGGAGGGCCCAAAGGGCTATAAGACACTGAATGAGAGGCATCTTCATAGATTATCAAAGATTTTTCAAGTAACCAGTATTTTTGCTATGAGCTTCTTTGCTGCAAACATTTTTGCACCATGACTAATTGGCCATAAGACAATTTTGTCACAAAAGATAAAATAACTGGATGACAGTTTTTGCTTTGATAGTCTGGTCTTGACAGGCATGTCTCCCAGTTAGTGACATTACTGATGGTTTTAATGAACTGACAGATAATGATGACTGGCCCCATGAGGTGGTTTCTTATTTTGAAACAAACTACACTGGAGGATAAATAGGCCAAAAGTCTCAAAGGTGCAGAGCTGAACCCACATTTCCTATACAACTATGGAAAGTATGAACAGACATATGACAAGATGCCAAGAACAAACAATAGTGGAGAGGCTTTCACGATGTGATACAAAGCATGGTTACGAACATGCATCCTGGTTATTTGGAAACTGACACCTCTCTCAATGAAGGAAGAAGTTTAATAAAAAAGAAAATGCACAATGCTGATGAGGAGATAATCAAAATACTCAATACTAAGAATGAAAGACCTGGAAGACAACTGCTTAGGTACAACACACAAAACATGAAAATCAGTTATTTGTGCAGAATTGCCATGAACTACACACATTTTAGATGTATTCAAATATTTTGTAATTTGCTTTCAAATTAAAATTGCTTTTAAAAAAACTGTCATTCATTTATCATGTTTCATTATGTCCTCTTTAATATCCCTCTTTTATTTTTTACTATTTTATCTTTTACGGGAAAATTGCCTTGCAGTGAATTAGTAATTAAGGTGAAAAATGCTTGCAGCAGAGATGTCTATGGCGAAGATGCTTACAGCAAAAGTACCTAGAATCAATTTTTCATTCCCTTGGAATATATTTTCAAAGGTTTTCTCTGTCACAATGGGCAGACTTTGAGGTACAGCAGAGTGGAAAATGTTAAGGCTCAGTGATTTTTATTCATTAAAATTTGCCCCAATCATTGTATGATAAAATCTAATTAATACGGATGCCTAAATGACTCAAACATTCCATACCTGGTTATTCAACCACAAATGCCCAAGTCCTTTTTTCCTTTCCCAGGATCTTCTAGAGTCCTAAATTAATTTAAAGTTTTCAGCCCTGAGTACCCCTTTTATTTCCTGTATTTGTAATTCCTGAGGCCTGACCCGAGAACAGAGATCCCTTCAACTACATGATCTAATTGGGATAGACCAAAAAGAAGCCCTCACAACTAATTCTCTAAGAAACCACTGCAGATGGAATGGATAGATAACACCAAACCTTTCTTCTCTTAGAAAGATGATTTGGGGATGATCATTTTTCCAACAGAATTTATTCTTTGCCCTTATTTCTTCTGAAAGCAATAAAAGTCCTTTTATAAGCCAGCAGGAGGTAAAGCATCCTAAACTTGACAAATCTAACCCCAACTCATAACACTTAAATGATCTGTCATTTCAGTCAACAGAAACCAGTAGCAACTGATACTTTTAAAGGATTAACAACTATCAAATGGAGCAACAGAGTTTCCAAAATGGAAGGTAATATAAATGGAATGAACCTCTTCTCCAGCACAAATTTGTGCCGGAGGTGGCAGTAAAGAGAGGTAGGGTGCTTCTCCCGTGGCTCAGTGGTGAAGAATCTGCCTGCCAGTGCAGGAGACACAGATGAGGGTTCGATCCCTGGGTCGGGAAGATCCCCTGGAGGAGGAAATGGCAACCCACTCCAGTTATTCTGGCCTGGAGAATCCCTATGGACAGAGGAGCCTGGTGGGCTACAGTCCAAAGGGTTGTTTTGAAGAGTTGGACATAACTGAGAGACTGAGCACAGAACAAAGATGCAGTGTATGTAGGCAAAATTTTTAATTATGTCAAAAATATAATCCATCTAGCCACTTAATAGAAACTCCTGTTGAAACAGATTTAGCAGCCATATGAATTTTCCACAGCACAGGAGTTTTTGCCTATTTGAAAATGAACTACAGCTGACATCTCTAATAAACCAGGGTCTGTAACAGCAAGGTTTTTACTCCCTCTGTAGATTATTTCTGGTTTAGAATCGACAGTTACTGTTGCTTCACAGGGGAAAAAAAAAAAAAACAGGGCACATGCAACAATTTGAAAACTGCGCAAAAGAAAACATGGAAATTTTGCTTTAAGTGAAACTTGGGGGTGGGAAGCTAATGAAATCTGTTCCAGGTATTTGTTTCATTCTCCTTCTAGCTTCTTCTAACCCATGGCTAGTAGAAGAAATGGTTTCTTATGGCACAAACAACTGATCTAAATGAACACACAAGTTAAGACAAATCCAAAACACCTACTGCTGCCTGTAACAGATTAAAGATGGTCTCAAATCCTTGACACATCTTCCATCAAGTGGTAAGGTATCTCCTCTCCCTTCGAATCTGGGCTGACTAGTGACTTCTTTGACCAAGTGTGTGGTGATGACTCTTATGAAAGCTCTGGGCCTGGCCTTGAAGAGGACTTGGGAGGCCTGAGCTGCCATCTCCTAAATTTGACTACTCTGATGGAAAGATCAGATGGAGGGTCCCAAGGCTCCAGAGATGGGGAGGAGGCCTGCTGGGCCTAGTTTTCCAGTCCTCTCTACCAAGGTGTCAGGATGGTGAGCTCACCTTGGACACCCTGATCAGTCCAACCACCTGCTGAATACTATCAGATGACCTGAATCATCACCACAGGGAACATGAAACTGCCTAGACAAGCCTTTCCTGAATTTCTGATTCACAACATTATGAAATATATAAAGCAGTTGCTGTTTTAGGTCACTGGGATTTAGAGAGTTCATTACATAGCGACAGGTAACTGGAATGCTATCTTTCAATTTCTGCCTTGGTAGTAGTAACTCAAGCAGTTGTTCACAATTAGAACCACCAAAGGGGGGACTCCTCTAAATTGGTGGGCAATATTCCCAGAAAACGTTCACCATTCAACATCTGCTCAAAGTCAACTGCATTATCTCTTGGAAAAACCTTCCGATCACTTATTCCTGAATTAAAAGTTCCCTAAAAGCAGTGCTGTTACTGGCTATGGTATATTCTAGTTCACTACAACTCTGTTAAGTAAACAGTTAACATGATGTACTGGAGATAGTCTGGGCTTTGGAATCAGATTGGTAAATATTGGCTCTGCAATTTATCGATTGTGTAATCTTAGGCTCAACAGTTTCCTCATCTATAAAATATGGTATAATTATACCTATAAAATATGGTATAATTATACCTGTTAAAGGCCAACACAGTCCATTAAGAGTGTCAAGTCTAGTGAAAGACTGTCTAGGTCAACCTCTCTGGGTCTCAGTTTCTTTTCTTTTTTTTTCAGTTTCTTTTTAAAGTGAGGATAGTAACAGCATCTACTCTAATGTGTTTATCATAAGGAGTAGCAGAATTAATTAATGTGAGGCACATAAAACTGTGCTTAACACATAGTTAACATTCAAAGTCAGTAATTTTTAGCTACTTCTGTTACTACCTCAGAGAATTATTTTGAGAATTAACTGCAGTTATGTCTCTAAAGCACTTAGTGTGGTTAATTCCGTCCCCTTCTTTTTGACCCTCAGGGCTTTTAAACATGTATACCAGCCTCTAACCAAGTGGGTTTAGTACTCTCAAGTACAGGAAGCCACATCTAAACTATGTATAAAATCAGTTTTGCTATACAAATTTCAAGCACACTGTCTGGTACCAAAAATCAGTTAATGGAACAAAAATGTACTTAATAGAACAGATTCTCCTCTTGCTATCTGCCATATAAGTGATTTCACAGGATAGGAAACATTTCCCCATGAGATACATACTTTGACTTCTGGCACTATGGATTAATTCAGATTCTAAGATTCACAGTATATTAAATTGTGCTGTTGGTCATATGAGATGCTGAACAAATATCTTAAGTGGGTGGTGAATTCTAGTTTCCTTAACAGGACTTACTGAGTCAACATAAAAAAGCAAGCATTAGAAAAGTGGTTTTCCCTCCCTTAACTGCTTAACTAAGCTTTGTGTTTAAAGCTTCCACGATCTGAGCTAATGGACCTTTCTTAATTACGTTACGATGAGAGGTATTTATTATACAGATAACGGGGAAGATGTAAGATAAGAAATTTATTTATATGTGTACCCTCTGTGAACATAATGCATATTTCAGGCAATGCTTGCCTTCTAAGTCACTGCTGTTTTTCACAATTGAGGGAAAAGATAGTCTGCCTACACAAAACCAGAAAGTCTGTACAGATATCTTGTAGGTTTTGATTTCACTGTTCCTATCAACAATTACATCTTTTGGAATGTATTTAAGTCAGGTTTGAAAGTATGAAACTATCCAACTCTGGTTTGTCCTGAGCAAGAAAAGTTACTTAATGAAAGTAAAAAGACTGGTCCTAGGAAAAGCACCACTTAATAAGAAGAGTGAAAAACAGAAAGACACTAGAAAGCAAAGGAGGCAAAACCACATTAAGACTAATAGTTATCAAAGAAGTCATAATGCTTGGCAAACTCCATTATTTTCAACAGATTCTTATTTAAATGACATCTGTTACCAAGACCTCAAATGGAGGTATATGCAAATGATTCACTGGACTACCTAAATACAATTTCTTTCCCAAGTCCTATACCCTTGATTAACTGGAATCCCAAATTAACCAGGAAAACAGCATTCTAAAATCGCAAGAACTCATTATTAATACAAGTTCTCCAAGACAAAGCAGATCTGACCTATGCAAATATTCTGGAACCTTCTAGATGAAGGTTATCTATTACTCGGAGGGTATAACATATAAAACCTAATTTCCAACTTAGAAAAAGGCAACCTTAAGAATAAAATGTATAGTGAAGAGGTGCTGTATATGCATGCGGTCAGGTCACTCATCCAAACTTTACATGTTGGTAGAAATCACAACAAAGTAAGACTCAAACTCACTGTAATGTATGAGCATGGCCTAGAACACTTTGCCCAGAGAAATTTAACTCAGAAGTCCATGTATTGTTTACAGATGGGGAGCCATTATACTTTCCTCTTCCAAGGAATTACGTTTATTATCATTCTAACACTTTCCATTTACTTTTCCACATCTGGCATAAAAATACTAATTGAACAGTAAGAATGAACATTCACAAAGCAAATATATAATGTCCCAATATATATTGAGAAGAATTACAAACAATAACAGAAATTGGGAGATAGTTCTAAAAAGAACTTTAAATCTTCAGATGTTTTAAGTTTTAAAATATTCTTTTCTTTTTTTTTAAAAAGGAAGATTTTGGCTTTTTACTACTCCATATAGAACAGAGTGAGTTTACTTGAGTAAATTAAAATGAAGATTTATAGTAAAGAAATGGGTAGTTTCTAATCTAGAAAAACAGCACTTTGGATAGGAATCAAACCCCTTATTCTTAACAGAAATTAATTTTAATACTAGTGGGAATAAATCCATTCTTGCCATCATCGTGTTAACTTAGAGAAATGGCAAAATTTACTTATAAAAACATTAGCTCTCTTCCCCAGTATTTTCTCTAAACATGGTATTCATTTAACCGTACGTTATCATTCATGGGAATTATTATTTTTTTATGGGAATTATTTTTAAAAATTACTTTCTTAAATCTGTAATTACCACCCTCAACTTAATCTACCTTAAGTAAGTAAAGTCGCTCAGTCATGTCCGACTCTTTGCGACCCCATGTACTGCAGCCCTACCAGGCTCCTCTGTCCATGGGATTTTTCCAGGCAAGAATACTGGAGTGGGTTACCATCTACCTTAAAGGCAAGGACAAATCATAAGGCCTGCTCTAAATGTTTTAATGCAATGGGATTCAAGAAGGAGCATAAATGAGACAAGGATCTAGAAAAAGATGGCAACCTCTTTCAAGAAACTGATGCATACATGGCAGTACAAACTTAAAACCTCAATCAACCTGTTATAAAGGCAAAATGACAAGAGTGACAAATTGAGGGGGATGGTGTAATTCTTTCGAATCTATTAATAATTCTGGACTTGGCAACCTTTTCTGTCAAGAGCCAGACAGCAGGCCATGCTGTCTCTGTCAACTTTGCAAGGACTGTACAAAGTAGCCATAATACCTAAATGAATAGGTGTGGCTTCTTCCACTACCACTTTCTTTATACATAAAGGTGACCTCAGGATTTGGCTTGGGGACTGTGGTTTGCTGAATCTTGATCTAATTCCTAAATCCTAGAGATATACTTTGCGCCCGTAGGGCATCCTCTCAAATGGAGGGATTTACCTGACTTAATTGCTACTTGTTCTTTTTCTAAATCTCGGCAACCAAAATACTGAATGAATACACAGATAAGGAGAACATCTGAGGAAGAGAAAAAACAAAACAAAAAAATCCACATGCCTGTTACAGCTGAAAAAATAAAAACTTCCAAGATTCCAACTCCTCCCTGATTAAGTGCCTTTCCACTATGACTAAGACTTTTTATCTTTGTTCAAACTTAATTTCCTTTCTATTGCTCATTGCTTTCATTTCTTTAAATTAGATATTCTAGTCAAACAAAATGTTTTTACCAGTTAAAATAAAATTAGTGTTAAGAAACAGCTAAACCTTTTAAAAGTTATTTCCTGACCAAAGACTATTCAGCTATTAAGGATGAAGTTCACTATTTCACTCTTCTATCAAACCAGTTCCAATCAAGGTCAGATTTCAACTATGAAGTTAGTAGGAAAATGGTTTATTTCTATTGTCATGCCATCTTTGGAAAACCCTGTTTCAATGATATAGAGGGAACTGGAAACACTAAAAAAATACCAAAAACTTCCCTTAAGTGCTATCTCCCTTGTTTTCCAATCTTTATCCTTCAGGAACTAATTTATGTTTATGTATTCAAGACTAGCTTTGACCCTCTGGTATAACGAATAACTAGGGGGTAGTTTGCAACTCACAGAAACTCAACTCTGTTCAGAGGTAAATACGGTTCTGAGTAAAGAGAGAACAAGTCATTAGAAAGAGCCTTCTGCCTAAAGTACAGTATTACTGTTCATGCCAATGCCATACTTTAAACTGGTATCAGAATTCTGAGAGAGGAAATAAAAGGTACCTTTTAGAGTGAAAGTAGATAATGTCATCTCTCGTCTTTTGCTGAGAATAGTAGGTAGCTCCTTTGCTATTAAGGGCCACTCAACAAATGAAAACAGTCCCAGTGTTTGCTATTTCACGGCATTAGAGTATTTAATGATGATTGAGCTCTCACTGCTAACACTGTTCCCTTCACAAGGTGACATGTGCAAGGTAAAATTTGGTAATGGGTTTTGGGCATCAGCTGAAGTCCATTCAGTACATCCTTAGGAGAGGTATCCTCTGTGCACATGCGTGTAGAGCTACTCATCAATGCAGACAGAGTGCCACGAACTCCTAGGTCCCTACAAGGATGTTAGCTGAGAACCAGGACATGTCACAGTGAGCCTGGATAAGAAGCTTGGATAGTTATTTAGAAGAAGAATATCTCTTCTAACTAAAATGGAGAAATTGTTTTCAGAAACTTAAATCTGTTTAAAAGTTAGGCTGGTTTGAGTTTTCATGAATTTCATGGCTCTGCACTAGGCCAATTAAGAGGAGAGAACCAGCAAACATGATTGTGCTGAAGTGGTCCTAGATGACCAAAAAACACTCTATTCACAGTATAGATACAGCAAAAACCTGTTAGCAGTGAATAAAAAAGGAGGGGGTAACCCATCAAACCCTCACAGTATTTCCACATCTATCAAACAGTCCCTAGTTCACTTAAAATGTCTATTGCTCACCCTGGATGGAGTACTGACAAATGCTGCAGAAGTTCCTCTTCACACAAATGACTGCACCTCACTTTTACAATTTGGTAATAGTTTTAAAAGCTCTATTTTCTCATATAACATCTAAAAAACTAACAAAGCAATACAGAACTTTCCAGCATACTTCTTCTCAAAAGTAGGATGGACTTACATTTTTTTGGTAGGCTTAAACAGCCCTTCTAAAAGCAGCATATTCTGTACCTCTCACCTCCCTGCCTATTTAGTAATGGCAGAATCTGTCCACCGAAAACCTTGATTGCCAGCTGAAATGCTTCTTTAAAGATTTCAGTCTAATTTCAGCTCCACTTTTTCCATGCCACAGAGCACAGCTGCTCCCTAAGATGGCCTGAGGTGGCAGTTTTCACCCTATCATGCTGTTGCCCAACTAAAGAGAATGCCACAGTCTGTTTTCTGAAGACAAAATATGGCTTCAACATGACTTTTAAGGGTAGGCGCTAATCAAATAGTAGTAGCATCATTACATTCCTGTTAAAAGACGCATTCTGTTTTTCCAGAAGAGAAAAAGAACCATTCACTAGTGATATGGTACAGCTGTATATATATGTACAGGTCTCAGATTGCTTAAGAGTTACCCTCTGCATTCTAACTCCTGATCATCAAAGCAAGGCCATTCTTTCCTACCCACTTTTCCACATAACCAAAGCATTCTCAGGAAGGGGGCACTTCACTAATGTTCTCATGAATGGCTCACCACCAGTGCAGGCATGATCAAACCCTCTCCCAAATCTCTTTTACAATCATCTATGCCCCTGTACCAAAACAATTTCCTAAACCACTACGTATTTAAATACTCTCTAAGAAATCAATGATCAATTATGAGAAGCCAGAGAGTTTTCTCCTTTCCATTTGCACTGTAACTTGTAAGCATCTACTTGCCTGCATCCCTTAATGATCCTCCTTCATTCTCTGCATGCAAGACAGGGCATCTGAAGCTCTAAGTTTGGTAAATTCTTTCTGACTCTCGGTGCTGGATTAAGAATCTCAGAAATACCCAGAATTAACAAAAAGGTCCCTTGAAGTTTCAAAAATCTTAGGAATGATTAAGTAACCAAACCTGATCAAAATCGATCCCCTTGATCAATTTATTGCAACATGATTGTGCATGATGTTTTCTGATAAATGCCCTGTAGTGTATTATTAAATAGCAAAGCTCTTGGAGTCACCAGCAATTTGCTAACGGTTGGTTTATGAATTACTAGGTTTGCAGACGCAAGACATGGATTAGTGAGGTTCTTCTATTGGACTGAAAATATAAACTATCACATATGCAGGAGGAAATGGAATCGTGGTTGCAGTAAGAACCATAGTATTGAATTTCTACAACCACAATATTGCAGAAAAAATGTTTAAAACGTCATATAAAAGTTATCAAATATGGAGACCTGTGAATTTAAAAATAGAATCCAGGCTCATTTCACTGTAAAGTGACATTTTTGATGTATAATATTGCTGTTATGTGAAACTAGGAGCCAAAGAGACTAGATGAAACTTTGGTAGTCAGCCTTACACGTTTATCCATCTGGACTAGAGCCATTTCTTAACACCCGAAGATATGCAAGCATTATGGCTTACAAACACTGATCAGGAAGTTGCAGCACAGCTGGCTCTGTGTTGTTTGATATTCAGTAACTGCGAAACAAAAACACTTCCTTCCCTTGCTCCCTTCTTCCTCGACACAACACTCAAGCCCCCAAATGCAGGAATACCTATTGTAAACACATCGCTGCTCATTTCACTTGCAGGTGCTTAAAGTGCTTCAGATGATGCTGCCCATTAGAATACTGCTCCAAGATGGCCGCTTACGTGAAACAATCAGGCAAAGTATCCGGTGCCCTGCCTGGGCAAAGATTAAGTCCAACCTTCCAAAACAAAAAGAACTACCAGGATTCTTTTTTTTTTCCCTTGAAATATGAAACTGCAAGTTCTGGCAGGGAAGGAAGAAGAGAAACTCCCCCTTATCATCACCATCATGATGACTTCCTTCTCTTTCATGGCTGGCTGGTTCAGATGACCAAGGCTCCTGCTTTGTGTTTTATACCTGGGCAATGACAGCCACCAGGGTGATATGGACCAAAGAACAGTGTTCAAACATGACTGGTAGAGAAATGATCATTTATCACGGTTTTGTTAAAAAAACTTTTATAAAGTTAACAAACCAAGGCTGTTGATCCCTGAATTAGAAAGTTGATTTGCTTGATTATTTTCCAAGTGTGAGGTGGGAAGAAAGAGGGTAAGAGCCTCTAGTGCTTTTGTGTATGTTGCTGATGCTCTAGTTTGGCAACATCTTGGGAGCATCTTCTGATCTGGTGATGTGGCATTTTGTGAATCTAAGTACCAGTCCATGGCCCTGATGCTGGTTACTTATGGCCCAAAGGGGAAGAGGGTCTGCCCTCTACCCCTCGCTGTTTCAATCTGGCCCAGTAGTGGACACAGAGCCCTGGGCAGTTTCCCCAGAAGCAACTGTCTCTTCTTGTGAAGGTGATTCTTCCTCGGCTTGTCCCCGAGATGTGACAGTCGTTTCAGGGGAGATGCTATGAGGCCCCTCCAGGGGTATACAGCCAGGGTGGTTTTTGCGAAAGTGCTGATTCAAGATGGCCTGAAAGGGGAAACTTTTGCCACAAACATGACAGTGAAAAGGCTTGTTGCCTGTGTGCTTGCGGATGTGGTATTCCAGCTGATCTTTCCGGGTATATTTCTTGCCACACATGCGGCAGACAAACGGAGTGATCCCCATGTGCAGGCGCATATGGCGGTCCAGGCTCCCCTTCTGGTTGAAAGATTTGGCACAGTAGATGCAGGTGAGACGGGGGTTGTACCGGAACCACCGCTCAGATACTTCCTGCTCTCGGAGATACTCCACATAGCCACTTACTCCCATCATTGCTGACTCTTCTACCTGTACCAGATGAGGACAACAAGCAAATGAGACTTATTTAAGGATATACAGTAAAAGACATCAAATCATTTTTTACTTGTCTCTATGCTAAATGATTTTTAGCAGAGATCCAAACAGTGAATTAATTACTACCCAAAAGTAAAGATTTTAAGATAGGAATTTTTTAGAACATTGAGGCCACTCTACTCTATTACCATAAAAGAACAGGACAAACGAGTTACTTTCTGGCTGAAAAACCTCACACTTATTAACCTCCTGCTAAATATTTAATTTATGGTCATAGGAGAATCTAAGCCCACTCATAACATCCATTTGGACTCTAATTTGCAATCAGAATCTAGACAACCAGGTAGGTACTTTGGCAGTGTTGGTCCAATAGAACTTTCTGTGATGATGGAACTATCTGATAATCTGCACCATCTAATACAGTTGTCATCACACACGTGTGGCTACTGAGCATGTGTAATATGCTAGCATGACTGAGGAATTGAATTTTTCATTTTAATTGCTTTCAATTAATTAAAATTTAAATAGCCACATGACATGGCTAATGGCTATTATATCTGAGAGTACAGAATACACTATGGCAAGTACATTATAAATCATATTTTTGGCATTATCATTAATACCAAAATTTAACCCAGCAGTAACTAGCTTTATAAAAATGTATGTAACTTGTAGGTGACAGCATTCCTTTTTATCCCAAAATATTTTAGTACCGCATCAACATATTTTCTTTTTTCTAAAGACTGATCAAAGTTTAAGTGACCTCAGAGAAAGTTAGCAAAAGAATTGGGAAACTAGACTGAGATATGAATTTACTAACTTAGTTATTCCTTCCTGTAACCTCTTCACAATTTGATATCCAGTAAGTATTTACCAACTGGCTACTGTCTAACAAATACAATGACAGGTGCTACAGAGAAAGAAGTACAAGACCTGATTTCTGATTTTGTCCTCTGAACAGAAAGATAAAAGTGAACAAAAAACAGACAAAACAAAGAGAAGTGGGGGAATACATATTCCTAATGATCCTGCTAATTCACTCCAATCTCTCTTAATTTATAAAGTATCTCCCTACTAAGTTACATTTCTTGCATTGTGAAATAGAATTACTTAAGACATTCAAAACAAGCAATTACTGTAAAAGCATTAAAACTCTGCTGGTGCTACTTAGATAACTAAGCCTTTACGTTATGGAAAAATAAATGCTTTCCTTTTCTGATTTAATTTTTAAATCTCATTTATTTACTTATGGCTCGCTGGATCTTCATTGCTGTGTGCAGGCTTTTTCTAGTTGTGGCGAGCAGCGGCTGCTCTTTGTTGTGGTGTACAGGCTCTAGGCATATGGGCTTCAGTAGTTGTGGCACACAGGCTTAGTCTCTCCATGGCACATGGGATCTTCAGGGAATAGGGATTGAACCCATGTCCCCTGCATTGGCAGGCAGATTCTTAACTAATGGACCACTAGGGAAGTCCGTAATTTTTTTTTTTAATTGAAGAGGAAATATATATAGTTTAAAACTTTTTATTCAGTTTTAGACACAACAGTATATTGAATCCTCATCACCCAACAATTTCAACCCATGAACAATTTTGTGTTTTCTTTACCTTCACCTATTTGTCTTTTTCACATTATTTTTTGAAGAAAATCTCAGGCATAATTTCATACGTAAATATTCTAGTATGTATTTTTAAGAGATGAGGATTCTTTTTCTCTTAATGTAATTGAAATACCACTATCACACCTAAACCCCCCCCAGTAATTCCTTAATATCAATTAAGTAAAATCTTAATTTTGTTTTACCTAATCTGAACATAATCTAAATAGTGAAAGTATTTAATATATGAAATAAACAAGCCTTCCTCCTGTCTGAAAGCTAGAAGGGAGAGGGAATACTAAATTCTTTTGAATGAATAATTGAAAAACCTTGCATTTATAAATGCTTTGCATTAAAAATTCTGTATTAAAATATCCCTATTCATAAATTTCTGATTTATCCTGTTGACTTCTGAAGTCATTGTGTGTGTGTGTGTATATGTATATGTAACACACATATGTTTTATGTATAATGTTTTGAACAAAAAATATATACATATACACAAATATATATAAGCAGTTAAAAGTATGTAGGAGGAAAACACATACATCCAGCAGAGGCAAAGTACCAATGCAAAGAGGAGAATATGTAAAAGCTGACTCTGGATTAACTGGAGAAGGATGAATCTACCAATTAATCTTACACCCTTTTCTTGAACTTATAAAAGTGCATTTTATCTCCTTTCACATTTGTTAGCCAATAGTGCTCTTCAGTATTTCCAACAGAAGAGAGGCAGTTCTCAGCAGGTTTGGGAAGCAGTATGTAAAGAAAAGCAAGGACTGGTAAGGCTTTAGATGATTCTGATTTATTTCATATAACATTTCTGCTCTAATTCACTGGATAATCAATACTGAACTCACATAAAGAATGAGGGATTATCCCACTAAAAGGTCCTGGATGAGCACTCACAAAGCACAGAACAACTTCTCTGAGGCTTAGTTTCCTCATCCATAAAATAATAAAATAAAAAAGTTAGCGTATGTTTTGCCAATTCTATTGTATTCTTGTGAGAATCAAATGTGATAACAGTATACCTTGAGATATCCCTGAAGGCCTCTGATTATACTTAACAGCAATTTAAGGGTGCTGGAACCTGGGTTTAAATCTGGGAACTTCCCTGGTGGTACAGTGGCTAAGACTCGATGCTTCCAGTGCAGGGGACCCGGGTTCGATTCCTGGTCAGTGAACTAAGATCCCACATCCTGCAACTAAGCCTGCATGCTTCAACTACTGGTCCTGCACGCTCCAGAGCCACTGCACCACAGTGAGAGAAGTCCATGCACCCCAACGAAAACCCAGTGCAACCCCCACCCCCCAAAAAAGGAACAAGCAAACAACAAATCTGCATCCTACTTATTATCTGATTTTGAACAACTTATTTAACTACTCTGTGCATCAGCCTCTCCATTTGTAAAATGAATATAATAATAGCATCTACCTTGAGCAGATGCTATGAGCACTGAATGAATTAATACATTAAAGCACTTAGCATAACTCAATGTTAGCTATTATAAAACATTACAAAAATTCCTAATACTATTCATAATCTTGAGGGTACCAATTCCCTAAAAAAAAGAAAAAAAGGCTTAACTTTAAGGAAAATAGTGTCATAGGAGTACTGTCCACAAAAAGAAAGTAAATTTATTCTAGTTATCTATCACGAACCATAATCAGAAAACATACACATTAGGATCAATTTCATCTAAAAATTACTGCACTAAAGATGCAATAAAAGAGAAAATAAATGAGCATAAAATGTATACTGGTCTTTGTCATAGGCAATAATGCATCTTTGGTAGTTTTTATTCCTCTGAACTCTAAAAAGAAGAAAGGACAAATATGGCTGCCACATGGTTGTCTCTATCACAAAGAGGTGAATCAGACTTCCCTGGTGGCCCAGTGGTTAAGAATCTGCCTGCCAATGCATGGGACACAGGTTTGATCATGGTCTGGGAAGATTCCACATGCCTTGGAGCAACTAAGCCCTCATGCGACAACTAGTGAGCCCACAGGCTACAACTACTGAAGCTTGAGTGCCCCAGAGGGCGCAGTGAGCGGGGCAATGAGAGGTCCGAGCACGGCAACTAGCGAATAGCCTATGCTTGTCGCAACACACAATAATGAAGACCCAGTGCAGCCATAAATAAACAAATTAATAAAAAGTGGATCATTTCACTTTCCCCACTTGGCAATTCCCTAGTAGACTGTAAACTCTTTACACACAGGGACAATCCTACATTGCTGAATATGCTAGAACCCAACAGTCCCTGATATGTAGCTGGTGTTCAAGAAGTGTTTTCTAAATGAATTATTCCATAAATTAATAAATTCCATATAAATGGATGCTTCCCATAGTTTCTAAAATAAATACCAGTCTAGATTCTTGACAAGGGCTTCACAGCTGTCCACAATCCAAATCTTCAGTTACTGATCAGAGACTCAAAGAACTGATGGGAATTCAAAAATCACCTGATTAGTTCTTAATTTTATTTAATGATCTCTAAAACTGAGGACTTAATTTAGCAGCTGTCTCTTTATTGGGCCCCTACTCAGTAATTTTAGCTACTCAGAACTACTTAAGAGGTAAAACAACTCCCATTTAGTGGCACCTGATAAGACAACATGAGATACTAAGATCAGAAAATGTGGGCTCTGCTATCAAGGAGATTTCAATTTAGGAGACAAATTAATGTAAATCAGAAAAGAATCATTTATATGACTCAGTAGAGAATTAGGAAAAAATTATACGGTACCACGTGTAAATGCTATAGTGGTTTAAGAAGGGGAGATTAAAGGGGATAGTTAGGACAGATGGAACTAGGAGTCCAGCCTTGCGTGGACCCAGATGCCTGAGTGAGTATCCCCGACTCAAGAGGCAGAGACAGAAGTCTGATGTGGTTCTGAGGCACAGAGTCTGTCTGTTTGGGACGATTAATGCTGATAAATGGTAGGAAAAGCCAGGTTTGACAGATTATAAATTACTTAGAAAATCAGACCAAGTATTTAACCTTCCTGGGGTAGAAAAAGGAAAAAGCCATAGAACGTTTAGAATAAAGGAGTGACCTTGGTTTTTTCTAGTCAAATCACTCTTATAATCAATAAGCTCTTCAAGCTTATTAAAACTTGTTCTTAATATATTGTAAGTCATGTCCTGTTTTGGTTCTCTATGGTGAGAAAACAATAACTGGTGAGTAGACTCACCATAGTAAACTTTCATGCATGTCAAGGCATATATTAAACTCATCTCTTAATATCAATTACAGACAATACTGCTTACCTTCTATTTCTTTACAACCTGTACCTTCTGTTTCAGTCTGGTAAACACCCTTGTAGAATTCCAAAGTTTTATTCCTATCCTACTCACATATGGAATAAATTATCTCTTTCTAATTACTTTAAAAACCACACTTAAACACTCCTGAATAACACTTTCCTTAAGTGGATATTGATTCCTATAACTGTATTTTAAGCACTCCTATTCCCACACCACCATTACTTAAGTCTATATAGTCTTTTTTTTTTTAAGTCTATGCAGTCTTATCTGTATGTGTTTTGTGTATTTGTTAGTCTGTCTTATGCCCACATTAAATTGTAGGGTCTGTCTCGCTGCTGTATTTGTTTTTACAATAGTTTTGGTCACATAATCATCACATTCTATTGGAGAGATGAGGAGAAAAACAGCCCTAAAAATATGAGTAAATTTACTTTTCCTTCAAGTTCTTAAACACTTTTTCTCACACCTTACGAAGACTAAAAAATTCTTTTAATGGTTACGATTCCTTTTCTGGTACCAAATAGCATGATAATATACATATAGATACAGTTGATAACAATGTCTTGCTGCTGTTACTACACTATATACATAATAAACATCCAATGGTTTAGATAAAAATTAAAAAAGATACTATCAGTATTGTGCAGAAGATAAAAAATTAGCTATGCAATCTTAATCTACCAGTGTTTCCTTTTAAAGGGCCACAGTGTTTGTAATTTATTGTGTCCTACTTGTTGAGTTCACCAACTTTTTAAAAACCAATCTTCAATGATAGACACCTGTGAGAAAATATAAACAAAAATACCAACCAACTATACTTATACTATTTGCTAAGGAGTCACAAATTAAAGACATCATTTCTACCCTTTCTAAAACATTTTAGTCTAACAAGACATTTAGGAAGAAAATAAATGAAAGGATACAAACATACTAAAAAGCAAGCAGGATATAAAAATGCATAAGCAATTTGTTTACAAATACACAATACCTATAAACTAGTAAATATGTAGTCTTATAACCACATATGTACAAAATCAAACTTTCTCCATCCCAGGTCCTAAATTACCTGCATGAAGTTTTCAGAGGTTATTTTTATTACTCTTAGGCTACAGACTGGCTCCTATAATCAGGAAAGAGTTCCACAATCTTATCCTTTTCTACTTCCCAAACTCTGCTGACACCAAAAGTGCATTTCCTGCATGCTCGCAAGCAAAAATAAAGAGAAAAGTAATCAAATGCGGCATTTATTTAACAAGACATCTTTCCTCTCTTATTCATTATATTATGTTCACACAAGGTAGCAATTTCTTCAATCACCACAGCAATCTCAAATCCACTACATACCTGGGAAGTGGGTTGCTTAGGTTCATCCATTCTCCCAGGAGACTCACTTCTGGCTCTGTGTCTCTCCGTCAAGGGAACAACACTGCCAGAGGGGCTAAATCTGTTGGAAGAGGAGCACAAAGGGGACTAACAGGAAAGTAGTGTCGAGGAGCTTAAAAACTGGTGACATCTACCTCCTTCATAGTCTAGGAAGGGGGAACAAATTGAACAACAGACTTCTAAGAAGTCCTTTCATGGAGTCAGTATAGAATCATGAATACAGTAAGAAGGCTTCTCAGGTGGCGCCAGTGGTAAAGAACCTGCCTGCCAACGCAGGAGACATAAGATACACAGGTTTAAAAAAAAAAAAAAAAAAAAAAAGATACACAGGTTTGATCCCTAGGTCCCCTGCAGGAGGGCATGGCAACCCACTCCAGTATTCTTGCCTGGAGAATCCCATGGACAGAGGAGCCTGGCAGGCTACAGTCCAGGGGGTCATACACAGTTGGACATGACTGAAGCGACTTAGCACACCAGCATGAAATAAGAAAAGTTTGCCCTACTAAATTTTTAAGAAATAAAAAATGACATAGCTGATAGACCATATGATCTGGTGAAGCTAAGGCTAAACATAAGCTTCTATCCTTATGTTAAGTACTAGAAGACCAAAAAGGAATAAATTAAAACTAGGTCTTTTGTTTCTTCTATGTAAATTTTAGGTTTTTGGTTAATCCTTTCACCAAGTCCCATGTTAATCTGCTATATATTTCAGGCTGTTGATATAGACCGTGGAGATCAAAAACCTTTGCCTTTAAAGCTATTTAGTTTCTGATACAGTTCTAACAGGGGGACAACAATGCTAACACAGGTGACAGTAAGTATTAGGCTCAAGAATATTTTAACTATTAAGGACAGAAGAAGGAAAATAACTAAACCAAGACCAACTGAAGTAGATACAGTATATACCCTCCGAATTTTGTTTTTTTTTCTTTTTTTACTCTCTGAATTTATGACACATTTATCTCTCAAGACCAGATGTGAACCAAAGGAATATCTTCTTTAGTTACCATTGTTAATTCACTCAATTTTAAACTTTTAAGAAAGGAAAAGAATATTACCAATCTAAGTTGGTAGTACTTCTCTCTTTAAGACTTTCTTTCAACTTAGGTTAAAATTATTGTTACTTCCCCCCAAAAGAATATTCTAACAATAGCAATGTATTAGAAAGAGAAAAATAGGGCATAGGGCATAATAGCACTGGTGAAAAAAAGAAACTCAGGTTTACGGTAGCAGCTGTCATCATTGAAAGAAAACGGAAGAGATATAGTCAAATGACAAGTGAAAAAAAGGAATGAAAAACACTCAAAAAGCTTTTCTTCGGTATTACTGTGATTATGCTAAAAAGAACCATCACTGCTAGTACCATACTTTCTCAAATCTGGTAGAAGGGGAGGCAAAGAAAGGTAAACTGCTACAAAGGAAAGTGAAACTCCCAGAGGCCACCTACCTGTGTGAGAACCTACCAAGAAAGGGCAATGCTGTCAGATTGGCAGCTGATGATCAGCTCTCTTCCTGGAATTCCGAAGAGGCCCTGGCAATTACTGATCCTAGTGTGACTGCAGATGCTATTCTGATTCATGAAGTGTCTAACTTTACCATAGTTCTCACAACACTGTGAACACTTCAGAACTAGGAGCTTCCTGCTTTAAAAAAATTAGAATGCAAGTCTTCTGGCACACTTTCAGTTTCCCCAACATAAACTTATTCTGATGAAGAACATCAAGTAAGGAAGATGCTCTTCGTGTCACAGAGGGCCTGCTTTAGCTATGTCTACACAGTAAGCCACTAGATGGGCAAACAAAACAACTTACCTGTCAATCTCACTGCTTGTTGGCCTAGCCACCTTGGCTCCTGAGGATCCTAAAGAATAATTCTCCTGTCCTACAGAGCCATGGCCCGTGGTGTCAATCACCATGGCCGTGACCTCCTCTGCACTACTCCCGTCTTCTCCGGAAGGCTGATTCTCGGGCCCAAGCCACTCCTCTAGGTTTTCCGTTTTGATGTGTACTGCTCCCAGGACTCTAACGTCATCGTCACTCCGGGCTCCTCGGTCTGCTACCCCTGTCTCCACGTACCACTGTCCTGCTCGGTTGATCCGAAGGATGGGTTCCCGGCTCTCTACATCAGAACTCTGTTCAATTATCTGCGGGCTGGTGGACTCCTCGGGAGGACTGAGCTCCCGGATATCCAGGACAGCACTCACCTGACCTCGCCGGTTTCCCTTGGGGGTATTGTGTCGGGGGCTGAGGGAGCGGTTTAGATTTGGTGTAACTCTGTGAGACTCCGGAGGTCCCTCTGCATGCTTGGTCCTTGTTTGACTTAATTCGGCTTCAACCTCAGCCACGTTAATTTTGAAATGAATGCCCTCCAGGATCTGGGTACATTTGTCTATAATGTGCTGCATCTGCAGAAAACTGGCAGCGGTCAGGTAGCTGATGATATCCGCCAGTTGCAGGCATATCCGCCCCGTATAACAGAAAGAAAGGAGCTGTTCAAAAACAGTCGGGTTCTTGATGACTGAAATGGAGACAGTACTCATCTCATTCAAGGACATATGATCCCGGAAGTAGGGGGAGCTGGCAGCCAGGACCACCTTGTGAGCCCGAAAAGCTTGTCCTTGCACGTTGACCACGATGTCACAGAGACGGCCCTGCATGCGCAGCTGGTTCAAATGGCTCAGGACAGAGTTGCTGAAGTCAGGGATCTCCAGTTGTATGTTCCCACTTTTCTCCATGGTCGTGCCTGAGGGTGTAAGCAGGCATTCAACCCTGCTGCGAGAGAAAACGGAACCCTCATCAGTAATTATAACCACTCCTTTGCAATTCAAACCTATTTAAAAATATTATTCAGTGAAATTTCTAAATCTCCAAGTAGACAAAGATACCTTCCTTATGTTTAAATATGGAAAAGAAATATCAACAGGTTGAGTATGTTAGGTTTCAAAGCAAGATACCATTACAACTAAAAAGATTGTTTAAAAAAAAAAAAGATTGTTAGACTTCTAAAAATTCAAGTTATGCCCATACTTTCCTTATTAACAAGCTATGTAACATCAAAACTGAAGTTCAACAGAATAGAGGGAATAAAAGAAAACCAGTGTGACAATTTTTATTTTCTAAATGTTGATCATAAGGTATTGGCACACAATATAATGAAACAGCTTTTTGAATAAATTTAATTATACACAGGTGGGCGACCAAATACCCCGCTGAACATTTTACTACTTGCTGCATGAATTAACGTTTATTATTTTACAAAGTGACCAACATCCCACATAAGCCATTGTATCTAAGAGTCAAGAGCCCGCACAAAAAGACTTTGGGTTTAGCACTTGGAGGCCAACTCTAGGTTAGGAAAAACTCCAAGTTTTGTCAGGACGAAAATGCAGATTACTTGAAGAAGTTCACCCTCAGGATTAGGAAAGGGTAGATAAAGCTGCCTGTATCTAAATCCAAAGTTGGAATTTTTAGGGTGGTAATGATACTTTGAATCTATAGTTTAGTTGCCCAAAGCTGGTGAAAAACAGCATTTACCATGTATAGACAATAATTTTACTTTAAAAGGTTTTTAAAACAACATCTGAACCAATAAGCCTGTAACTGCATCCAATAATCTTCACCAGTTGAGAGTAGTTTGTATAAATCCCATTAGAAAGACACTGACTTGAGCACACGTAGTTACCTAAGATCTGAAAGTTCAGTAAGTTATTCTGACAAGCTCACAGTATTGCCCGAAATCACAACACACTTATCAGTAAATAGGGAAGTGTATACACTGCGTTCAAGAACCAACTTTAGCCAATCTGACCTTTTTCCAAAGCGTTTTTGTTTGTTTTGAGACTTTTAATCCAATAAGAGCCTCTGTCGATGCCATCATGAATTCAGATGTTTATTTTGGAGCCTACACCAGCGCCTTTTTTTGTTTGTTCTTTCCGGCAATTCCCCAGTGAGGAGGAAGCCCCTGGAGTAAGGTCTTTTTCTACCGTCGGCACTGGAGGGGTGAGAGCTGCAAGAGGGAGAATCGGGAACGGCATGGGGTTGGCCACTCCGGTACTCAAGTGGCTTTAGTCCGCATTGGGAAGCGTGGGGAACGGAGAACAGGCAGAGGGGCGTAATGTCACTGAGGAGCGGGGGCGGAGAGAAGAGGAAGGCGAGCGGGTCGGGAGCGAGCAATCAGGTGAGGGTAGAGGACCGGGAAGGGGGCGGCGCCCCGGGACCCGGTCCAGGCGGCAAGGCGTAAGCGGGCGGGGAGCTGCCCAGAGGTGGGTGTGTGTATCTGGGTGTGTCGGGCTGCCATGGGGGAGGGGGCCGCCCAACCCGGGGTCCTGAGGGAGGGGCCCACGAGGGGGCGGGTCCCACAGCTCGACGCGGCCCGGGGCCAAGAGGGTGGAAGGTCTCCGGGTTCCTTGAGGCGGGGTGGAGGGAAGTGGCTGAGCGCCCCAGGGGCAGGCTGCGGCGGAGACCGGGCGAGGCGGCCCCAGTGCAGGGCAGCGGGACTACCGTGTGGGGCCCGAGCCCAGTCAAGGAGCAGCACCTACCTCCGGGGGTGGAAATGGGCCGGAATGGGCCGGAACACCGTCCCGGAAGTGAAACCCCCCACCCCCTCCCCCGGAGCGGGCGACGTGCCGGAAGGAAATCACTCACCCTTATACCGCCCCCCTTCCCCCTCCCCCAGCGCTTTCCGTCTCTCGCGCCCCCTCCCCTCTCTTCCCCTCCTCCTCAGTCTGTAGGAGGGCGGGAACCCTGCATCACGTGGGCAACTGTATCCACGCCCACAACGGTGAGGTGGGGCGGGGCCGAGGGCGGGGCCGAGGGGCGGGCTTGGAGGACGGGACGGGGGTGCGGCTAGAAGAGGAGGAAACTGAGACCGAGGGGGAGGAGCTGAAGCCGTCTCTGGAGGAGAGTGTGCGTCATGACGTCATGGCGCAGAATACTTATATACAGGCGCCTGGGCGCCATCTCGGTCCTTTGTGGCTGCGAGCCGGCTGTTCCTTTGGTCTCTGGTGCTGAGTAAGTACTTAGCCTGAGTCCTCCAGCTCTTAGCAGTTTGGGTATGCTTGAGTTGGCTGGTATGCCTAGGCCACTTGCACGCCATCGCAGGGCTCTCAAGATGAGATGGTGGAGGATTGCGAGTTGAGTGCGGGGACAATCTAGTTTATACTCTTTGGGTTGTAGGCCCTATCTGCGGAAAAAACCGCAGCTCGTTTGCTCTGCCTCTGATGAAGCCTGTGTTGGTAGGGACATCTGAGAGTGTTGATGAATGCCAACGGCTCTGATGGCGGCGCAACCCGACTCGCCGAGTTTGTCTTTGTTAATGACCTGGGAATGAACCTTCCTCGGCCTCCTGTTCTCGGGAAGGCCACGTGGTTCTTTAAATGGCGGCGTTTCGCATTGCACCATTTTTGTCATTGGTTAACCTTAATTTTGTGGGGTTCTCATGCAGTAATGGGTGTGTAAACGATCTGTGTACATGATATGTAAGTGACGTAATCTTAGAGCAAAATATATTTCTAAAATTCCTCACCTTTTTGTAGGAACCGCGGCAGGCATGACTCCAGTGTGGATTTTGATGGCTTCTGGTGGGCAGGTAAGAAATTGCTGAATACAGTGGGAAGCGTCGAATCTTGGATATGGTCTTTAAGCCTGTGATGGTTTACAGAGTAGTGGACAGAAGGGATTTCTGAGAATTTCTATTCTGAGGCTTAAATACTTGAGACAATGATTAGGTTAACACCATAGTATATTTCATTGGATACTCTTTGTTTTCTAGTTGTGTACCAGAAGGATGACAACTACTGCTGGGGTGAGTTACTGAAATTCCCTCACAAGGGAAGGTTAGGTTCAAAGTCCACTGAATGTGCCACAATGATGACAGTTTATTTGCTACTCTTGACTGTGAGGATGACGAGAATTATTACCACCATTATTCTAACTGAGGCACACGAAATGGCTGTTCGGAGAATACAGAGATTGCACCTTCTTTGACATGAAACTTTTCTTCCCAGGTCTTAAAGCTCAAGCTTGCTGTACCTATGAGAAGACAGGTGAGAAACCATTTTTTATAATCCATATTTACCTACTACTGTGAATTTTTTTTAAAAAGGGACTAGTGAGTGCCAGGCAGATACTGGTGCTTATATTAGGAACTTCCCCCCCTCCCTTCTTTTCAAATGTTAATCTCTGCGTTCTTTTGTTATAGTGATTACTAGGGGGAATCTGAGGAAACAGATACTGTGATGGTTGCATAGTTCAACAGATAGGAATCATGAAAGAGAAACCGTTTTATCTGATGTATCTGAGTTAGTAAATATTGCTTGTAGTAGATGTAAACTACTACTACTAATCTAGTTTCTCTTTGTTTGTAGCCATTGAGCAGACTTGGCTGGAAGTTGAAGAGGTAAGTAAAATTTCCAGTGAACTAAACTGGGCAAACACGACAGAATGCCACCAATGACTTTGTAGGGTTGCCTTCTAATGCATGGGAAGCAGTCCTACCTTGAAATGCTTGAAAAGTGTACTGAAAGCATTAAATAAAAGCCAGTTCCTGTCTTAAAAACGGCCTGTGTGATGATAAGCAAATGCTGACTGAATATGAAGGTCTTAATTAGCTCTATCTGATTTCAGGCATTTTTTAAATTTCTGTGGAGAAAATTTATCTTTGGCTGTTAGAAAACCACTCTTTTATTTCTTAGGTGAACTTGAATGCTTGACCTCTCAAAAACAGTTGGCCTGACTTTTTGGTGAGTACTTATGTCAAAAACATTGTTACAGAGACTGCTGATGAAGTTGAATGCTTAACTACCAAGCTAATCTGCCTGGTTTGTAAGTGCATGTTGAGCATGCTATGAAAAGGATGAAATGGGGTTTTTGTAATGATGTTGAGCAAATGTCTGACCTGAAATTAGCATGTTGACAAGTCTAACACTGAAGGACCCTTTGACAAAATACTTGAGAATTTAACAATAAGATTGACATTTTAATGAAAAGGTCTTTTTCCTTACAGATGATGGCTACATGTTTTTTTCTATGGATGACTTCTTTGGGGTAAGACACGAAAACACTGCTGGCATTTGGGCTTACATTGTTTCTGAAATGTGCTGGTCCAAGTAGTTGACCTTTGATGGTGTTTTCTGATGTTGGACAGATCAATCTTACTTAATTACTAAGCAAGGTACTGTTAGTGATGATTTTTATAATAAAACAGATGGGAATCTCTCTGAAAAAGAATGAAGTTTTTAAAAACTGAAACAGTATCTTGAATCACTATCATTAGTATTTTGAAATCTGTTACTACTTATTAAAAAAAAATTATTTTCTGCAGGTGTGAAGAGAGGTAGCGACTACAAGGAATGAGGAGTTCTAACCAAAGGTATGGAAGTCTCAAGTTTGGTTTTTGTGTTTTCTGATTTAAAGCCGATACAATGATGAAAACATAGTTCAGCAGACTAACAGTGATGAGCAAACACTGTCTTTCGCTCCTATCTGATGTATCTGGCTGCAACAATTCTGTTTTATACCCTTGAAAGTGGAGGTTAGTCAATTAGTCCTTGTCTCACTGAAATGTTCAGGATTTGGATAAATATAATGTAAATATCCTATACAGTTAATTTCAGGATTAGGAATTAATATTTTGATAATAGACTAAAACTGAGGAAATTTCCATGTCATAACTGTAGACAACACCAGAATGAGTTACTCAGCTGATGTTTGATAGTAATTTTTTAGAGCAGTTCAGGTTCACAGCAAAATGGAACAGCAACTGCCTATGTAGCATCCTCATCTCACTGTCAGCATCTAGCATGAGATTGGCACTTCAGATTCTGAGTCTAGGGCTAGTCCATGTGATCGCAGAGTTGGACACAACTGAGCCTGCATACCACATATTGACTTACATTGGAGTTCAGTCATGGTGTTGTATATTCTGGGTTTGGCCAAATGTATCATGAGAAAGATCCACCTTTCCCAGAACAGACTCAATGACCTAGAATTTTTTGAAAAATGTTAAAATGGGAGAAAGGGCAAATTTTAAATGAATATTTTAATGGCACCATAATATATATATAATTTTACAATGCCATGTTGTAAATGAAAGTCTTTATTCATTTTCAATCAGGCAGATGTTCTGTTGTCCTGAAGATTCAAGGTAAGTTATTTTTCTGATATTTTTGATGAGTTATAAGGTAACCAGTGATGTGATGATTCTGCCAAATGAATAGAATGATATCAACCATAAAACCGTTCCATTTGATTCTGAGGTTACTTTAGCAACAAGTATCACATTTTTTTTTCCTTTACTGTGATTTAACATATGGTCATGTCTTTTCAGGGCATTTATGATACCAGTCAGACATAATAGGTAAGCCTCGAAAATAACTATACTGCTTTGTTTAAGAATATGTGATGATCTCAGCCCAACTTGAACTCTCTCACTGACGACTTGATGATGTTCAAAGATCTGATATTCTGTGTATCCCAAATGGCATTAGAACTGAAACATGGAAAAGGGGAGTAAAAGTGGCTTCTCTGTTCTTGCAGGCAGCCAGATGGATGCATGTGGGATAGAAGAGCAAACAACTTAATTGGCTGCTGCTCTGCACAGCCTGTGGGATCCTAGCTTCCGGACAAGGGATCAGACCTGTGGCTGCTGCAGTGGAAGCTCAGCCCTAACCATTGGACCACCAGGAAATTCTCCAGCTTTCTATTGTAATAAAGATTTATAAGTCATTTTGAAGTATGCTTATTTCAGTTTCATAAGGTGTAGGAAAATGGGGCACTGGTAATCAAGAAGATCCTATGGCATGTTTTTTGAGATCTTTAAGGTAAACACTGCAGTTGTAACATCCTTTTTAGAAAATGGATACTGGTTTTGCAGATTTTGGGGGTGTGGTTCAAGTTAATGAGAAAAGTAACTAGCCAGTGAGTTGCTAATTCCTAAGTTACCAAGGAAACCATTAGTTCTGGCAACATCCAAAAGTGTTCAGTTCAGTCGCTCAGTCGTGTCTGACTGACCCCAAGAATCGCAGCACGCCAGGCCTCCCTGTCCATTACCAACTCCTGGAGGCTACTCAAACCCATGTCTGTTTTGAGTTGGTGATGCCACCCAACCATCTCGCCCTCTGTTGTCTCCTCTTCTGCCCCCAATCCCTCCCAGCATCAGGGTCTTTTCCAATGAGTCAGTTCTTCGCATGAGGTGGCCAAAGTACTGGAGTTTCAGCTTCAGCATCAGTCCTTCCAATGAACACCCAGTGTAAGTACCTGCTAATCAAATCTAAGCTTTCTAATTTGGTACTCTTAAGTGTGTAGCAACATTAAGTTGGGGTTTAAGTCTTGGTTGCTTGCCAAAACATTTAACTTCCCAATAGCTGAAAAGGCCAAAAATTCAGTTAACATTGGAAAGCTTAGCAGTTTGGGATTTATTCCTGTAAAAGGTTGACATTTTTTTTGGCCGCATTGGTTGATCACTGTTTGTTCACCCAGGGATCAAACCTGGACCAGGAGGTGAACCTGAATATCTTGTATTACATGCAGATTCTGTACTGGCTGAGCCACAAGGGAAGCCTCAAGTCTCATTACCTAGCACTATAGACACTCCGATTCAATCCTGGAGTTGGGAAGATAACCTTGGAGAAAAGAATGGCAACCAGCTCCAGTGTTTCCAGGCGGGCTGTGGTCCATGGGGTCGCAAAGTTGGACAGGACTAAGTGCATATAGTATTACAGTAGGCCCTACGTGGATTTTGAAACATTTTGAACATGTTTATTTTTTGGAATATTCTAAACCATAACAGTTTGAATTAGCCTTAAGACTTTTCTGGGCATAAGGATATTCAAAATGCAGGAAACAATACATTGTAAAGCAATTACCCAATGTCCAGAAGGATCTTCCCCTGTGGCTGAGACAGTAAAGAATGCCCATGCAGTTGGGAGATAAGGGTTTGATGTTTGGGTTGGGAAAATCCCCTGAAGAAGGGAATGGTAACCCCCTCCAGTATTCTTGGAGAATACCCACGGACAGGAGCTTGGCAGACCATTGCTTGACTGTTCATGGGGTCAGACATGCCTGAGGGAGTAAGGAAAGCATTGTTATATATACAAGTTCAACTTGCTCAGTCCAACTCTTTCTGACCCCATGGGTTGTAACATGCCACGCTCCTCCATCCATGGGATTTTCCAAGCAAGAACACTGGAGTGGATTTCCTTATCTATTGTTAGCTCTAAGGTATTGAGAGAAACCCCTAAGCAAATAGTATTTGGGGCCAAGTTACTGAAATCTTGTTTACAGTTTACAATTGGCTTGTGTGCTTCAAAACCCTGGTTATTTCCAACTTGCGATCCCCTGGATTTCAGCATAAGCCTCTTTTTGCTCTGACAGGACTGAATAACTGATAGCAACATGGCATATGAACTTCTGGGGACCTGGGGTGTGGTGTCTGTAGGCTACAATAATTCTTTGGATTTAGGGAGTCATTTGTAACTCATTTTCAGGACAGAAAGAGATTGTCAGAGTTAGGCTCTAAACAGTGAAAATTCTAAGTTACATTTAGGAAGTAGGTATTGTACTTGTGGGATAAATGAATGTAAAGATGCATTTTCTTAACTAAGGGCATCTATAAATTACACTGAGAAAGTGTAGGCAGAGCTGGACACCTTTCTCATAACTGCCAGCAAGGATCTTTCTGGCTCCAGAGTACATCCACAATTGGGAAAAGATTGGGTTAAGGGACAAACTAGGGAAAAGCTCCATCTAAAAGACCCTGATGCTAAAGGTGGGAGAAGAGGATGACAGGATGACATTAACATGAGTTTGAGCAAATTCCGGGAGCTGATGATGGATAGGGCAGACTGGTGTGCTGCAGTCCATGGGGTTGCAGAGCTGGACACAACTGAGTGAACTGAACAGCATCATGAAGGACATGTACACTCCTCACAGCCTACTGAACATATTAGACCTGGACAGATGATTACAGTATCACACCGCTTATGGCAATGTGAGAAAAGTAGACTGGAATGTAAGAATGTTTGGTATTTATAAGTTGTAAATCAAAAGAATGTCAAGGCAAAAGTTAAAGTAGAAAAAAACAGTCAAGACCTTATTCCCATTTTATAAGTCTTTATTTGTGACAACAGGCTGTGTAAAAAAAATGAATAAATTCCAGTGTTCACTTTTCAACATTTGAGGTTGGTTTAAGGTTAATATTTTCAGTTATAATTGAGGAAAATTTATTCAGGGATTCATGATTATTTTAAAAAATAGAAATATAAACAATAATGATTAGTGAGATTACTGTTTTCCTTTTTACCACAGATGTTTTGTTTAACCTAAAATTATAAAATACATAGTATTTTAGTATAAAATACCAGCATTCTGTTTCCAGATGGATAATATTTCATTTATGTAATGCCTGAAAGGTTTTCAGAGCAGTTTTACTCATGTTATCTTCCACATATATTTATCTCCTAGGATTCTGACAAGAGGGATTCAGGGCAAGTACTGTTTATATTTTGTATATACAGAAAGGGAGGCCAATTTACACAACTTGCGGGGTAAAGCACTGATTAACACTTTGTGACCTTTATTTCAGTGATTTTTTTGCTTTGTCATGTTGCTTCTCACTATATTACATTGATAGTATAAATGTCATGATCCAGGTTACTTTATAGGATTCTCTTTGTGAAGCTGGTTGCATTGATCCCTCCATCAACTGACCAGTCTAATGGGGCAAGAATTTTTCCACATTTTTACATGTGGTTTGACTACTTATGTCCTAAGAGAACAGTCTACTACCTGAGTATAAAAAATGTGATTAGAAAACACTATGTCATTAATGTTACTCCAACAAAGAGCCATCTTTCACACCTTTCCAAGTAAAAAGAAACTTCAAAAAAGTTCCAAATAATCCTAGTAATGCACGTTATCATGAAAACTGGATGCCTTTTATCTGTTTCTTCATTGAGGTGAAAGAATGTAGCCTGGATTTCTTCCATCTAAAAACTTGAAGTCAGATCTGTGGTCGAACTCCAGATCTGATTTTAGCCTTGGGGAAACAAGGGACAAAATTTAACAGCTCAACTTTCTGAACGGCATGGATGATTCAATGAGCTCTTTTCTGTTTCTGCATCTGTTGGCCAGGAGACCTGGATGTGATAGGGCTTCAGTTCCTCAGGAGGGATAGAATCTGGGGCATTGCTCATGAGGTCGTGCCCCCGGAAGGATTTGGGGAAGGCTATGACATCTCTGATGCTTGGTGCTCCAGTGACAAGGCACATCAGTCTGTCTAACCCTGTAAAATATAAAGTTGATAACTGAGAACATAATCTAAGGTTGAGGGTGACTTAGTTTTTCTATAAAGTCTGTACAAAACTTTTAAATAAGAGCCTTTAATAAGTTGCAGCTAATCATAGTTCCCTGGCCTTTTTAGGGAACTTTTGTTTGAGAGGTTCTTTTCTATCTCATTCTAGAAAAGTGCTCAGGACTAATATTCACATGCTACTGGGATTAATAGTCACAGCAATTAGTGAGACCTTAGCAAGTGCTCATTGAAGCTGAACAAAATTAGGTACTGTGCATGGGACTCCAAAAATGCAGAAGGAAGTCCCTGTTGTTGAGGGCCTACAATCTAGGTAAGCTTTCTAGAACCTCTCACACTCTTATTTGAAAAAACTAGCAATGTGAGCAACCAGGGCCATCAGAAAGGCACTGGCATATTCCTGATTTCACATAAGCTGAATACTGTGGAGCAGTACTTTTCATACTCCTATGAACGTGTCTGAGCCTCCAGGGAAGTGAGCAATATTGACTTAAGACTGTCTAGTTTTATTCTATTAAAAAACATTTTCAAATGCAAATTATCAGTTAAGTTTTATCTTTATAACTGGTTAAATATATTTTTAAAAACATATCATCAGGGAATCACCTGGTGGTCTAGTGTTAGTACTCCACGCTTTCATTGCTCAGACGGGGTTAAATCCCTGGTCTGGGAACTAAGATCCCACAAGCCACAGCGTGGGCAAAAAAATATCAAAATGAAAAACACCAAATTCTTTAGAACTCTTGGGCTCACCTCATACCCTCTTTACTCCTCCACTTCCCCAAGCTCACCCTTCCTCATAAGCTGAGAGCCCAAATTTGACACTTAGGCAATGGACTGAAACAAGGTGAAAGAGGACAGATTGTTTACCTAAAGCAATTCCTCCATGAGGGGGCGCCCCAAAATCTAAAGCCTGGAGCAGATGGGAGAGCAATTTCACATCTTCCTGAAATTCAAAAGATAATTTAAATACATACTGAGGGCCCCTATGTGCCACAATAATACAATTAGTTGCTAAAAAAGAAATATGAAAAAAGGGAAAATAAAAGTTGAATTAAAAAAGTACCTTTAGAAGCCTACAGTTTGGCAAGAGAATATGACAAGTCAGGGAAATCATCATGCAGAGAAAGGCCTGGGGCTCAGTAAATGCAGCTATTATACTGATAATACAAACAGTAAGACCAATTAAGGACACAAGATATGGCCTCAGAAAAAGAAGGTAAAAAGGAGGACCTGGTCCTGTCACATGGGCTAAGAGGCGAGGTTATCAGGAAGGCAACAGTGCAGATGCTGCCTTAGAAGATAGACAGCTTGTGGGCCAACAACAGGCTGCTGGATCTGATGACCATAGGCAAGATAACTTTTTAGGCAATGCCTGTGGAAATGTTGCAAGCGTGTCTGAAATGGTTCCCTAACCAGACAATAGATCACAATCAAGCGGGGGAGACTTTAAGGAACAAATGCCCCAGTCTCACATCTAGAGCTTTTTTATTTTAATTGGTCTGCTGAGGAAAAGTGAGTGGTTTTCTAGTTTTGTTTTTAATGCTTTACATTAAAGCATTCTGTTCTAATGTGCAGAAGGGCTGAGAGGCACTGGTGTGTATGAAGAGAAGTTCAAGCAATGTATTCTCACTGACATTTTGAGAAGCTTGAAAGGAATGAAGAAAAAAAGAAGCTGGGAAACTGGTGGTTAGGGGTTTTGACTTAAGAGGAGAAAAGTTAAGGGAGTTTGTAACATTTTTAAAGCTAGACTGTTCTGAGTTCTCCAATCCTGGTCTCAGAAATAAAGTTCCTCAATCCCAAATAACCCACCTCACAAAGTGATCTTTTAGGATCAGACTCTCTTGGACCTCCTGGACCAAAGATTTCCAAGGATTTCTTGGGCCTCCTGAAATTCATCCTAGCCTCCTGAAGAGTCATCAACAAACCACAGATTCTTAGGCTTGCATCTACATAGACTCTTCTGAAAATTCTGATTAACCCACTCTCTGTCATTATCATTAAAATCTACCCCACCTCTAATACTAAGTGACATAAAATTCTTTCAAACTGCTCTCCTTTTCTCTAGAAGTATCAATATTTTCAGGACTTCCCTGGTGGTCCAGTGGTTAAGATTCTGTACTTCCACTGTAGGGAGCATGGGTTCGATCCCTGGTTGCTAAACTAAGATCTTGCATGCCCTCTGGTGTGGCCAAAACTGCACCCCCCACGCCCCCAAATAACACAGTTTTCAGCCACTTCAGACTGCATCCACTTTGGAGCAATGCAGTGATTAGGAGGTTAGGAGCTTGGGTTCAAGAGCAACCCTGCCTGGTCCTGAATCCTGGCGCTGCTTGTTTCTGTGCTATGTGACTTTGGGCTAGGTTCATTAATCTGTTTATCTTTAAAATGAGTAGAATAAGGGTTTTAATTTAAAAAGTAAGTGTGAGGGAACTACCCTGGTGGTCCAATGGTTAAGAATTTGCCTTGTAACACAGAGCATGTGGGTTCAATCTCCGGTTGGGGAATTAAGGTCCCACATGCTGCCGAGCAGCTGAGCCCTTCACCACAACTACTGAGCTGTAACTATAGAGCCCACAGCTAAGATCTGACACAAAAGAAATAAATAACTGTGAGGATTAAATGTATCCCTGCATATAAGGTGCTTAAACAGTGCCTGACATATAGTAGTCACTAAAAAATACCCATTATTTTCATTTATTTTTCAAAGTCTAACACTAAAGGTAGAGAAATAAACTGACACTCTTCTGTAGCTACTGAATCCTCTATTCATAACAAATTTTAACCAAACAGACAAATATTAGGGTTTTAAAAAAAGGCCAGGTTAGAAGATGATGTTACCTTTAGTACTGTGGCCAGGACATAATGCTGAAGCTCTGAATTATGAATTCGGATAGAACCACCTCCTATCTCATTGCCGTTTAAAACCAAGTCATAGTGCTGGCTACGGACCTAGAAGATTCAAAGAGCCTTTGGGTTAGAGAAAAATCTCTAGTTTTCTCTTCCGTAGGTTGAAGGCACTGTAGCTACTTAGGACAATGGCTCCAATCTGACAGTTTCTTCTGGGGCTTCTGGAACTGGGTCAGACCACGAAACCTGAAGTTCTCTGCCTTGTTTCCATATTTCCTTTTAATTTGGAAGTATAGATATCATACCTTGTGGGGCTCAGTGTAAAGAAGGTGAATGTCACTCGGATGGGGAGCAGTAAACGGGTGGTGGGCTGACTCCAGCTCTTGGGGATTTTCCTCTTTGGGAAGGAAGAGGGGGAAATCCACCACCCAAAGGAAGGAGAACAGAGCTGGGTCACGAAGCACCACTCCTCTTGCTTCTAGAAGGTCAGCACACTCCAGTCGTAATTTTCCCATCAAAGAGCACTGCAAACAAGATACAAACGTTAATTGCTGTGACAGAACAGGCAGCAAATGACACATGTGGATTCTAAAGCCAGGTCTTTCTCTGAGAAGTGAAAGTCGCTCAGTTATGTCCGACTCTTTGCAACTCCACAGCCTATTCAGTTCATGAAATCCTCCAGGCCTGAATACTGGAATGGGTATCCCTTCCCTTCTCCAGGGGATCTTGCCAACCCAGGGATCGAATCCAGGTCTCCCGCATTGCAGGTGGATTCTTTACCAGCTGAGCCACAAGGGAAGGCCAAGAATACTGGAGCGGGTACTCTTTCCCTTCTCCAGGGGATCTTCCTGACCCAGGTATCGAACCAGGGTCTCCTGCACCGCAGGCAGATTCTTTACCAATTGAGCTATCCAATTTACCGATGAGACACTCTCTGCCTCTCAGGAGAGAAGGATCTGAGGATGATCTGACTGCGACATTGCTGAGGATGATGGTCACACTCAGCAGACTTGGTGAGCATCTGCTAACACAGTGACTTGAGAACACAGGTACCAGAGCTTGATTGACATGGGTCTGTATCTCAGTTTGGCTACTGACTAACTCCTCTGCACCTTTTCCCACAGTAAAATGGAGATAAAATATCTAATCTAAAGACTATTGTGACGATCAAGTCAGACAAGCTCTGTACTATGAACCAGCCATTATGATGAGTATTTCCTCACTGTTCCTCAAGGATTGTGGGGAGGAGCTGATGAGAGGCTGGTATACACTTAACATTCAATAAATGTTGGCCATTATTAGGGAGGCAGTATGGGTTAGAGGTTACATTAAGAGTGTGACGTCTGGAACCAGGCTTTGTGGGTTAGAAGTCAGGGTCCTCCACCTCCTAGCTGTGTGAGTGTGAACAAATTCTTAACCTCTGTGCCTCAATTTTCTTGTGTAGTCGCTTAGTCGTGTCCAATTCTTGCGACCCCATGGACTGTAGCCAGCCGGGCTCCTCTGTCCATGGGATTCTCCAGACAAAAATACTGGCGTAGTGTATGCCTATGACTGATTCATGTTGATGTTTAGCAGAAAACAACAAAATTCTGTAAAGCAATTATCCTCCATTAAAAAAAAAAGAATACTGGAGTAGGTTGCCATTTATTTCTCCACTCAAAGTTTACTTTTTTTTTTCCTGCACAGCATACGTACTTCCCTAGCTAGGAATCAAATCCATGGCCCCTGCAGTGGAAGCACAGAGTCTTAACCAATTAGACTGCTGGAGAAGTCCCAGTTTTCTTACCTTTAAAATGGTAACAGTATCAGCACTTCTCTCAATAGGGCTGGCATGAGGATTAACCGAGTTAATATGCACTAAGTACTTTGAACAGTGCCAGGCAAGCAGAGCGAGCTAACTGTGATAAGTGCTAACTATGACAGGCAGGGCACTCCTGAGAAAGAGCAGTTAGAACAGGAGGCGCCACACCTGCCCACACGCACAGGTGTCCCTCGGTACCTATTCTATCTGCCACCTAGATACCCACACAGGGCACCCGCACTGTGACGTATTCAGAATGCTAATAGTACTCCTCATAAATCAGGTTTCCAGTGTTCTCCCGAGGAAGTCCCAGCAGGAATCAGAGCAGTACCTTCCTGAGAGGAGAACACGAGTTTTCCGTTCATATCAGGGAAGAGTTTAACAGCCAAATGAATCTGCGGCAGGATTTTTTTTTTTTTTGCGGCAGGATTTTTAATACAAAATCCCAAATTCTTTTTTAAGAAATGCATGGACACATTGTAAAACAATCATCAATCAATCAAAGTATTAAAAAAAAAGAAATGCACTAACAATAAAATTTGTAATTTAACTGGTGAATCCCCAGGCAAATTTAACAGTACTGGCTCATGGCTGGTATTCAAAAATAATATTCATAAATGAATTAATTTAAAGAGTGACTATAGTTTCAGAAAAGTTGTAATTAAATAGCTTTCTTCACTCTTATTGCAGGGAAAGGGAAGGGCAGTAGATTAACGTAGGCTTGTAGCTGAACTCTGAAACTATTCCTTTGGAAGAAATAATGATAAATAAGTACAATACAAATATAACTTAGTAGAATAAACTTGATAAAGTACAAATTAGGCACTATAAGATATACTATAGTGCAGGGATGACTTTTTATCATGTTTGACATTTACTGTATATTTAGTATATTTTCTTTTTTTTTTGTCTGTGCAATGTGGCATCTGGGATCTTAGTTCTCCAACCAGGGACTGAAACTGGTTCCCACCGGGTAGAAGCACAAAGTCCTAACCATGGGACCACCAGAGAATTCCCTACATTCCTTAAATTTTCTTTTTAAGTATTTCTTTTTATTCTTTGGCTGCTCGGGACATGGGATATTAGTTCCTCGATGAGGGACTGAACCAACACCCACTACATGCACAGAGTCTTAACCACTAGACCATCATGGAAGTCCCCCCACCACAGCGTATTTTCAATATTCATGTTTGAGTTTTATATCACCCTTTGTATATTTTACAATGAGGGCACAATACAGTCCACAGGGTCACAGCGTTGGACACAACTGAAGCGACTTAACATGCACACACAAACCACACGTTGTATATTTTACAGTGATCTCTAAAGTTAAATCCACTGTTCCATACATCTGAAGAATGGTGATTTAGCCAGTGTGTGGCAGCCTGTACCACCTCCCAGTTGCTGCTCCTGAGGAAAAAGGATTCTGTCTCAACTAAGTAGGACCAGGAGTGCTGCCAGCCCAGCAGCTCTCCCGCAGTCTGATCCGTCCTTCCACATTTTCAGGAATGCATTCTGTACAAAAGTTTGGGACTACCAACTTTTCTCAATCTGCTAAACTTCAAAAAGGAAAATTTTTTTCACAGTTATACAACAAGTATCAATAGCCTTCTCTCTACCTAAGTAGCTGTCCTAATCAGAGCCAGAGCTAATCTGTGTGAGCAATGCCAGTGGAGGCTGGTAGCTGAGGCAAAAACTGTAGTTTTTACACAATGCATTAAAAAATGCCAAAAGACATTTATTAATATAAAATCTGGACTTCTCTGTTGGCACACTGGATAAGAATCCACCTGCCAATGCAGGGGACACATGGAACTTTATCAAAAAGACCAGCATCCTGGTCTGGGAAGATTCCACATGCCATGCAGCAACTAAGCCTGGGCACAACAACTACTGAGCCTGAGCTCTACAGACTGCGAGCAGCAAGAACCAAGCCTGAGCGCTGCAATTACTGAAGACTGCATGCCACAATTCTACTCTCCACAACAAGAGAGCCCTGTGCAATGGGAAGCCCCTGCTCGCCACAAGTAGAGAAAAGCCCATCCAGCAACGAAGACCCAGTGCAGCCAAAAATAAATAAAATTATAAAATACATATATATAAAACCATGCAGAGCAGCTCCATTTTATGAAAGTAACAGTCAATTTCAAATATGTACTACACACATAGGAGAAGAGAGGCATCATTCAACACCAACAGCACAGAAGCCTGGAGGAAACTTTTCTTACTGCTCTCTTGTGCTCTCCGGCAGTGAGCAGGACCACATCCTCCTCTTGGGTCTCCAACAGTTTGACAAGTCCCAAGCCTTGCTCCTCCATTATGAACTTAGCAACTGGAGAATTCCAGTTTTCATTGGTTTTCAGGAATATAGGTAAGACTTCCTGTGATAAAGAAAAAGACTTACAGTTTTTAAAAAGCAGGGGTGATTTATTTTTCCTGTAGTACAAAGATTTCTTGTCTCCAAAAGAAAAAGAACCTACATGAGATTATCTCTATTTCCTTCCTGATACTAAAGGGCTCTAAAAAGTAATCTCACAAAAATGAAAAACACACACAAAAAGGGAAAGAAGGGTGGGAAGGGATGCAGCAAGTAAGAAATTTCTGAAAATTTTTGGCAGGTTGCATGTGAGTGAAATAGGAATGACCAAAGAGGCAAGATGAAGGAAGCTCTAGCCTAGAGGACACTGGAGCAGCTTCAGCACAAGAAGGAATTGATACGGCCCAACACGTGGATACACCCCTACGTTCACCCCATACAAGGAACAAGCTCATTTCTGTCCCCTGCCTGCCCCTGTCCCCATCCTCCAGTGAACAAACAACTAAGGGAAACTGTTGTTTGTTCTTGCTCCCCTCTGTTGCAGCAGGGGCCCCAGTAAAGCCTTGCCTGAATTTTTTTTAAAAAAAGAAGGAACTGATCTCACCCTGCAAAATTCTGAGGCACAGGGCCCCCGGGAAACAGCCATCCATCTTGCTGCTCACTCAAAAGTAAACCTAACAATTTACAAAGGGCCCTTTATACAGCTTTTGATATAGCTCATTCTTAAATATGTATAATTAATAATCACTACACATTGAATAAGCTATAGCATTAAAAAAAAAAAAAAGACCCCTAGAGGAAAGAGATAATTTAGGGACCAAAAAAACTCTAATCTTCAAAGGTATTAAAAAAGATACTTTATCAATAAAACCAGATTAAAATGCAAAGAAGCAAGCAAGTGCTAGTAGGACATAAAAATATGACTACTTAAATTTCAATAGGAGAGCTGAAGAAATCTTCCCAAAAGAATAAAAAAGACAAAATGATGGAAAGGACATGAAAACAAGAGACATGCAAGTTGCAAAAAGAGGTCCAACACATAAGATGAAAGAAATTAAGCTTCATATTTAAAAGGCTCCTCAAGTGTGCCACACATGCAATGTTACTTCCATGTCTTGGTTATTGTAAATAGTGCTGCTATGATCACTGGGGTGCATGTATCTTTTCAAACTAGAGTTTTCCTTTTTTCTAGATATATGCTAGGAGTGTGATTGCTAGATCAAATAGTTAACTCTATTTTTAGTTTTTTAAGGAACCTCCATGCTGTTCTACATATTGGCTGCATCAATTTACATTCCCACCAACAGTGTACAAGAGCTCCCTTTTCTTCATATCCTCTCTGGCTTTTATTATTTACATAGACTTTCTGATGATGGCCATTCTGACTGGTCTGAGGTGATACCTCATTGTAGTTTTGGTCTGCATTTCTCTAATAATTGGTCAGCTGTATGTCTTCTTTGGAGAAATGTCTACTTAGGTCTTCTGCCCAGTTTTTGATTGGGTTCTTTGGTTTCTTGATATTCAGTTGTATGAGCTGTTCATAAATTTGGAAATTATGCTCTTGGTGGTCACATCATTTGCAAATATTTTCTCCCAGTCCATAGGTTTTCTTTTTGTTTTGTTTATGATTTCCTTTACTGAGCTAAAACTTGTAAATGTGGCTAGGTCCCATTTGCTTGTTTTTGTTTTTATTTCTTTTGCCTTGGGAGGCTGATCCAACAAAGAATTGCTACAATTTATGTCAGAGAAAGTTTTGCCTATGTTCTCTTCTAGGAGTTTAAAGGTGTCATGTCTAATATTTTAAACATTCAAGCCATTTTGAGTTTACTTTTGTTTATGGTGTGACAGTATGTTCGAAGTGTGTTTTTACATGTGGCTGTCCAGCTTTCCCAATACCACTTGCTATAGGGACTGTCTGGGTAGTCCATTTTCAATCCACAAACACAGCATTTATACAGTTATGATCAGTGAATATATAATTCTGTATTCTCCTTTTCTTACAGATCATTATAACCTGAACATTTCCGCTACATTACAAACTTCAAAAAGGAACTTTAATATTTATATCTTTAGTTCTTCCTTAATTTATTAAACCACTCCCATATGATTTCATTTTATTCCTGTAAATAATACTGTGTGTAAGTGTCCTCATATCCAAGATCCTTTCTTTAAATTATAGAAAATTACTGACTCAAAGAGCATGACCATTTTTATTTTTAATGACCATTTTTAAAGTTATTGATTCCAAAATGATTGAGGCAATTCACACTTTCAGTGACAGTGTAAGAATGCCCATTCCCAAAAAAAAAAAAAAAAAAAAAGAATGCCCATTCCCTGCTCCTTTTCCTCCAGATTTTAATGTTACCATTCACCAAGCCAAGAACACAAAGTATATCTAAGGACAGGTATACTGAGAATTTAAAAAAGGGTATGGGAAGAATAATGAATATTGGCTTTCTTTCACACTAACCATGCTTCATTTAAACCTTGGGCACATTAAACTTTGGGCTTTATTTAATCTTCCCAACTGTATTAAAGTACTATTATTTATTTTTAAAAGGCTATGGTTGAAATTTGCTTTCTGATTAACAGTAAATTCAACTAAGTTGGAGTCTTGGAGTTATACCCAGGGGTAAGATTAACTTTAAAAAGAAAAAGAAGAAAAGTAGAAGACTGATCTGAAATAACAAACCTCTCAAAACTACTGATAGCATAAGAGCACCAGCAATTAATAGTTAAAAATATTGAATCCCTAAAAGAAAGGAAAAAACCTGCTCCTTACCTCATTAAAATGGTCAGCTGCAAATTTTCTAATGGACTCAATGTCCTTCCTTTTCAAGTATTTCTGATGAAAGAAAAAGTAAATTCATCAAATATGACAGCTTCACAAACATGTCTATGAAATGAGAAAGAAATATATTTTGTGTCTTTCGATTATAATAAGATTCAATAAAGATTTAATTTCTATTGTCAAATGATAAAATTTTAAGGCTTATTTCAGGGTGTATTCTTTCTAACTATGCAGGTCTCAATGGAAACAGCTGTGAATGTATTCCACAGAAGACTGTGCATACATAGTATGTTCAAAATGTATCTTTACAACTGAATTGTGAAAGATCAACAAAATCAATAAGGCTTGCAATTTGATTATTTCAGGTCACTTAAAATTCTTTATATCTTATTTCTTTAAATTATCCCAATGTGTTTCTAAGTGAGACACTATGGCTATCATCATCACTAATATTCATGGAGCTTATGTACAGGAGATATAAAGAGGTGAAATCATGGTTCATGACCCTGAAGTCTACATGCAGTTCATGACCCTTCTAATCTACTTGGGAAAGAATGGATATACTCAAATTGGGATAACTAATATCAAGAAATATATGTTATACTGAGCTTATCTGAACACATTCACTATATCTGGACTAGAGTATGGGCACCAAATTACTTTCCACTGAACATATGAAGTGAGTAACAGGTAATGGGACTGAATTCTTATACCCATTTTAAATATACTAATATGCTTATATATCCAACTGAGTAGTCTTTCAAAATAGTCATCCTATTCAAAATACATTTGGAACTCTTCTTCCTAAATTATTTCCAAAGCAGATGTGCTAACTACAGAAAAAAGACATGTCCCATTACTAAACAGCCCATGCTTACCCAACCCAACCATTCTCCTACTCTCATTTCTATTCCTTTTGCTTTTCATAGCTCCACCTCCTTTCTCTCTCCCTGTTATTAATACAATAGACCCCAGAGCCTCAGAAAACCTGACCCAACAAGCAATGGCTACGCTGGAACTGATACAGGACTGGGAGCCTTTGGACAAACTGAGACTGGAAACAGAAAAATAATCCCAAAGGAAGCACAGGAGAACTTTACAGCATTAAAAAGAAAAATAAAAGCACGAGATCTTGAGTGTAAACTCAAATTCACAAGGTTTTATCATTCTGTCCTTATAGTTCTAGAGACACTCAGTTCAGTTCAGTCACTCAGTCGTGTCCAACTCTTTGCAACTCCATGGACTGCAGCATGCCAGGCCTCCCTGTCTATCACCAACCCCCAGAGTCTACCCAAACCCATGTCCATTGAGTTGGTGATGCCATCCAACCATCTCACCCTCTGTCGTCCCCTTCTCCTCCTGCCCTCAATCTTTCCCAGCATCAGGGTCTTTTCAAATGAGTCAGCTGTTCCCATTAGGTGGCCAAAGTATTGGAGTTTTAGCTTCAACATCAGTCCTTCCAGTGAACACCCACAACTGATCTCCTTTAGGATGGACCTGTTGGATCTCCTTGCAGTCCAAGGGACTCTCAAGAGTCTTCTCCAACCCCATAGTTCAAAAGCATCAATTCTTCTGTGCTCAAGCTTTCTTTATAGTCCAACTCTCACATCCATACATAATTACTGGAAAAACCATAGCCTTGACTAGATGGACCTTTGTTGGCAAAGTAATGTCTCTGCTTTTGAATATGCTATCTAGGTTGGTCATAACTTTCATACCAAGCAGTAAGCGTCTTTTAATTTCATGGCTACAGTCACCATCTGTAGTGACTTTGGAGCCCCCCAAAAATAAAGTCAGCCACTGTTTCCCCATCTATTTGCCATGAAGTGATGGGACCAGATGCCATGATTTTAGTTTTCTGAATGTTGAGCTTTAAGCCAATCTTTTCACTCTGCTCTTCCTCTTTCATCAAGAGGTTCTTTAGTTCTTCTTCACTTTCTGCCATAAGGGTGGTGTCATCTGCACATCTGAGGTTATTGATATTTCTCCTGGCAGTCTTGATTCTAGCTTGTGCTTCATCCAGCCCAGTGATTCTCATGATGTACTCTGCATATAAGTTAAATAAGCAAGGTGACAATATACAGCCTTGATGTACTCCTTTTCCTATTTGGAACCAGTCTCTTGTTCCATGTCCAGTTCTAACTGTTGCTTCCTGACCTGCATACAGATTTCTTAAGAGGCAGGTCAGGTGGTCTGGTATTCCCATCTCTTTTTCCCACAATTTATTGTAATCCACACAGTCAAAGGCTTTGGCATGTTCAATAAAGCAGAAATAGATGTTTTTCTCAAACTCTCTTGCTTTTTTGATGATCCAGTGGATGTTGGCAATCTGATCTCTGGTTCCTCTGCCTTTTCTAAAACCAGCTTGAACATCTGGAAGCTCAAGGTTCATGTATTGCTGAAGCCTGGCTTGAAGAATTTTGAGCATTACTTCATTAGCGTGTGAGATGAGTGCAATTGTGCGGTAGTTTGAGCATTCTTTGGCATTGCCTTTCTTTGGGATTGGAATGAAAACTGAGCTTTTCCAGTCCTGTGGCCACTGCTGAGTTTTCCAAATTTGCTGGCATATTGAGTGCAGCACTTTCACAGCATCATCTTTCAGGATCTGAAATAGTTCAACTAGAATTTCATCACCTCCACTAGCTTTTTTCGTAGCGATGCTTCCTAAGGCCCACTTAACTTCACATTCCAGGATGTCTGGCTCTAGGTGAGTGATCACACCATCGTGATTATCTGGGTCGTAAAGATCCTTTTTGTACAATTCTGTGTATTCTTGCCACCTCTTCTTAATAACTTCTGTTTCTAGAGACACTATTAGACTCTACACGACAAATTACATTTTTATTTAAAGAGAACGTTTCTCTCTGAAGCCTAAATGTGCCAATATTGAACATATTTACTTCCCAAGTACACATTCTAGAGAAGACACAGACTTGGCTCCACTTACTGCTCCTTTATGGATACATATGGCTTTGACAGTCCCTTGGGGCTTACTAAGGGCATCTTGGAGAAATCCAACTTCTGTGTTTCTGAACATGTCACTGATATCTACAATCTGGAAAAGAGAAGAGAATAAGGTAACTAAACGTGAGGTCATTTTTATCACAAAACCTTTTACAAACAAGAGTTTAAAGAGGAGAGTAGATCTTAACATTTACAGAGCACATACTTCGAGTGTTTATTGCAGGTTGGGCGTCATGACAATGTTAAGGTACCTCAACAAGAGTGTGAGGTAGGTCCTCTTATTATCCCCATTTAATAAAGAGGAAACCAAGGCACAGAGAAATGACTTGCCCAAGATAACACAGCTAGTAAGTAGCAGAGCCAGAATTTAACTTAGGCAGCCTAACTTAAGAAGAAACACCACTTCACTTTACAAAAGAAACAAGGAGTAGTTAGCCTGGCTGCTTGCTGTAAGCAGGTAGGTAAAACTTTCTCTGTGTTACGTTTTTTTCATTATAAGAATTAAGCACTGCCTATTTGTGGACCAGGCAGAATTCAGTTTCTAAGGAATCTACATTGAGAACTGAGATAAATGTCACCAGCATTAGAGCAATGAAGAGCTGTTGCTCTCTAAGAGAAGATAAAAAGAGATTTCCTAAGGGAAACTGCTCTGTGAATAAACATTTCCCATGTTTGACCTCTTTATAGACCAGGGAAAGAGAATAAATAACCCTTAATCATTTGCCTTTCAAGTGCCATTTTAGCTTAAGAAAAATTTGAGAGGAAAGAGTATTTTTTTTTCTTTCAAGTTGCCATTCATATCCATGTAACTAATAACCTGTCAGTAGTAAAACACAGCAAGAACCTTGCTCTTGAAAATGGATCTTGGAACACAGTAGATAGAGAAAAGGTATTGTAATGCTAATATGATATTCTTCTCTCTTGCTGTAGCTGGGTAACAACAAAGGTAACAAGCTAAAGGAACAGCAAAAAATATGATATAACAGTATAACTGGTTGTAAAGATTAAAGTGGTTCAAAACTGACTACAGGACCATTTGGGGGCAGAGTCCTGGGAAAAGTGAAGAAGAGTACCTTCATCCCAAAGCGAGTGTCAGGTTTATCAGTTCCATAGCTGGCCAATGCCTCAGCAAAAGGCATAGAAGGAAAAGGGACCGCCACGGGATCTTTGTCACTGGGCCATGAATACTGGAGCAAGCCCTCAATTAGACTCTGGATGCCTGTCTGGTCTACAAAGGACATCTCTATGTCAATCTGAAACCGAAACAACATACGGAAACTAACTTGAAGAGCCACCATATTAATATGGACATACACAGTTATGTATTTCTCGTTTCAAATTACCATTGGATTCTGTTCTTGATACGTGGGGGAGCAGGTGAACTATTGTAGTATGTCTCTTTTGTGCCAGGCACTGTGCTAATGCTCTACATACATCAAACTGTTAGTTCCCACAACTATCTCACGGCTGAAGGCTCAGACAGGCTAAGTGACTTCTGAGTGTGTGCAGTTAAACTGTACTTGATTTTAATGTCTGTCCATCTCTAGATCTTATGGTTTTTGTGCTTCACCTACACTGCTTAATATGATATCACATAGAAACTAAATCATAATAGCTTTGTTCACACTGACTAGATCTGTTTACAGATTAAATATCAACACAAAAAATTGTTGGTTTTAGTGCACAAGAGATTTTTTTAAAGAACTTTATCATATCATGGTCATTGAAACACTTTAGGAATCTGCCCTTCCTTAGTTTATGACCATATTCTTTTTAAATTAATTAATTATTTATTTTTGACTTTTGTCTTTTTTTTCCCTTTATTTTTACTAGTTGGAGGCTAATTACTTTACAATATTGTAGTGGTTTTTGCTATACATTGACATGAATCAGCCATGGATTTACATGTGTTCCCCATCCTGAACCCTCCTCCCACTTCCCTCCCTATCCCAGTTTGTGACCATATTCTTTTCTTAAATTTATTTTTTAATTGAAGGATAATTGCTTTACAGAATTTTGTTGTTTTCTGTCAAACATCAACATGAGACCATATTCTTTGTAAATGGATCAAAAATTAAATAATTAATGCCTTTACTATAGGCTGGTTTAGTTAAATATCTGATAGATAAAAATGCAACGAGAAGAAAGTATAATTTCTGTCCACATTTTTGGTGTAGCAAGGTTGAATCAATAAGAGATGAACGAATATAACTAAGTACCTGAGTAAATTCGGGCTGTCTGTCTGGTCTCGAACCTTCATCTCGATAACATCGGGCAACCTGAAAATATCTACAATTGGAAGATAGCATTAATTCAGTCAGGATTCTAGAAACACACACACACTTCCCCCTAATAGTTCCTGGCAATGCAGGCTATGAAATAATAATACTAAAACAACATAAGAAACTGTAAAATTCTTAATGATGCGCTAACCTAATCAGACATATGGTTAACCCATGAGAAGTTAACTGCTCTATATACTGTCTTAAAAATATACAATGGCACCTTTGGATGTTCATATATTAGATTGACACAGGACAGCCCATGCTTCTTTATACATACTCTTTTGCTTCAGCCAAACTGAAATACCTACTGCTCCATGAATATACTTGAGCCTTCCTGGGCTATGCTGTTCCAACTTTCGTTTTCACCTGCCGAAATGCAGCTCTGTCCCAGAAGGCCTAGATCACAAAGTTTTTAATGATATTCCCCAAAACAATATAATTTCCAACTACTTAATGCAACCAGTTTGCAACTCTCAGCATACTTATTTTTGGTTTACGTCACACTTGGTCTTTTTTTTTTTCACACTTGGTCTTATTATCCTGTTTTGTCTTACTAGGTTCATCAGCTCAAGAGCAAAACCTATTCTTTTTTGTTTTTAACTACTTGCCCCATCTATTAGCATAGAGCTTTGTATATGATGGACACCTAATAAATCTTTACATAGTAACCACACATTTTTAGGGTATTTTACAAGTATTTTCCAAACTCTCATACATTTTTGAACCTTCTTTTAAAAGATTAGACAATTTTGTGTTTCCTTTTCCCTCTTTCCCCTCTCTTTTCCTTTTTTCTGGCCACTGCTAGCATAAAGAAAGCTCACCTGTCTAGACCACCAACCATCAGAAGCTGCTTAAACTGTTGAGGACTCTGAGGGAGAGAATAAAACTTCCCAGGTTCCCTGGATGGTATTATAAACTCTTTTGCACCCTTTGAATGAGAGAGAGAGAGAGTGCAGAAATATTATTAAAAAAACATATCCTAAATAAATAAATAAATAAATAAATAAACATATCCAACAACTGGTAGTAGTCAATACTTCAGTTCCTCAATGAAATCAACTAACGGGCAAAGTTCCCACAATGACAGTTCATTTCTTACTCATCCTTCAGTCCCCAAAAGGTTTACACATAGTAGGCTTTAAATAGTATTTGTACATATTAAGTATACTTAATATTATGCTTGTTGAAATGAATGCCCAATTCTGTTACTAGTTAAAAGGTTTTTTTTTTCTAAATCTGGAATCCTGTTCATTTATTATTTTTGGCTGTGCTGGGTCTTCGTTGCTATGCAGTGGCTTTCTCTAGTTCCAGCAAGCAGGAGCTATTCCCCAGCTGTGGTGTGCAGGCTTCTCACTGCAGTGGCTTCTCTAATTGCAGAGTATGGGCTCAGAGTGCACAGGCTTCAGTAGGTGTGCTGTGTGGGCTCAGCAGTTACGGGCACACGGGCTTAGTTGTTCCGCGGCACGCAGAGTCTTTCTGGACCAGTGATAGAATCCGTGTCCCAGCACTGGCAGGCTGATTCTTAACCACTGGACCAGCAGGGAAGTCCAACTAAAAGGATTTTGTGCATCAGTTCCTATGCAAGTAATTCTTAATTGCTTTTCTAAATTTAAACTATAATTTTCTAAGTCCATGGATTGTATAAATATCAGTGTATGGAAATGTCAGTTCTTAACGAACAAGTGATTTAGTTTTAAAGAACCAATTCATTATTGATTGGTAGCTATAAAACTCAATGGAAAGAAAATGATATAGGATTAAAAGATTCTGACTAAAAGTACTAACCCATATTTTTTTCTCAACTCTAAAAATACCTAGTTAATGTGACTATCCTAAGGCAGTAAAATAAAAGAAATTGAACTAAGGGAATATAAAAGCAAAGTGGTCTAGTTTCATAACTAACAGGACATTATTTGTAGGTTGACTTAAGGAATATACATACCCCTGGAGTCCTCTTAAATAATGTTGGTGTTTCTACATCCACAAAACCTAAAAAAGAGAGAAATGTCAGAATTTAATTTATATGAATTTACCAAGTACAGTCCAACAAATCTGAGGCTACCATTTAATTAGGAATTTTGACTCTAATAAGTTACCAAGCAAATTAATGCTGGTTTCTACTAGTTCGAGGGAAGCTGAAGATTTTAATAAAATTCTATTCTGTTCATAAAGTTTGTACTCCTGTCCTGAAATAATTGTGTTGATGGATTCTTGTGTATTGAACTGTTCTGGTTTTCCTCCTGTTCTGCTAGCATAGCAAATATAACACAAATATAGTAGAAAAAAGTTCAGGGCTGATTGAAGAGTCTAGTTTCATTCACATGACATTTCTTCTTCTTTTTTCCTTTTATTTATTTCTTTTTTCTTTTTTTTTTCTTAAATTTTATTTAATTGGCTGCCTCAGGTTTTAGTTTGGGCATGTGGGATCTAGTTGCCTGACCAGGGATCAAACCTAGGCCCACTGCTTTGGGAGTGCAGTCTTAACAATGAATTACCAGGCAAGTCCCTCATGTGACATTTCTGAGCTCCCAATAAATGATGTAACCATGAAAAACAATTAAGAAAACTTACAGGTAACAACCAAAGGGCTGGTCCACCTTCAATGTGATGGGGAATACATTGTTGACGTACACAGGCACTATTACCTTGAAAAGTCTATATTTATGACTCAGTAGGGAACTAAATTATGCTTTATGTTACTAAATTAAGCTCTAGGATAAAACATATGGAAATTACTGTTTCTTTCCTTACCATGTAGATTACAGAGATATTCCCGCATTTTCATGACCATCTGGGATCTCAGTCGCAGGTTATACTGCATTTGGACACTACGCAAATCTAAGTAGCGGTACTGCAAACGAAGAGCCTCTGTTTTCTAAACAAATTGAAAATTTTTCATGTTTAAATATGCTTCAAATATTAAAATATTTCAAATATGTTTCAAACATTAAAAAGATATTAACTTTAGACACAGACTGAATTTTCAAAAACTTTAGCTCTATCTTTAGCTTCTAGCAGTTCTATATACACCAGCATCCTTAATTCCCACAATTTCTAGGCTTGGTACTAGTACAGATTCTACATTTTTCAGGGAACCACACTTCACTGACTGAAATTTGTCTACTTTTCTAAACTTGTATCCATTCATTTTTCCCCCCCCTTTTTTTCTTTTTTGACCATACCATGTGGCTTATGAAATATCAGTTCCCCAACCAGGGATTGAACCTGGGCCATGGCAGTGAAAGGATTCTGGAATTCTAACCACTAGGTCACTGGGAACTCTCTATCCATTCATTTTTAAGCCTGGAGTTTGATCTTGAAAAAACAGAAAAAGTTAAGATTTCAAAGATTATTAAAAAATAATAACCACGACTTTATCACCTGAATGGGAGAAGTGTAAGAAATACAAGGGAGCAGAGGATGACGCTCCAACTGTACTAGCAGGAACTAATGAGGAGGCTGCTTATTTTTTAAGATGATAAATCTTTGCCTCCTTCTTGTGCTGACAACTTTTTAAAAAAAAGTCCTTTCCCCAGAATAGGTTATTTCTTTGACACTAAAATAGAAATAGAACTATCTGCCACTTCTCTTTTTAAGAGCTCATAGCTGGGGGAAAACTGTACATTTCCTTTCTCCCCCCCTAACAAGGTCAACTCTGTAATTATATTGCCTCTTCTAATTAAAATATTAAGTACTGGGAACTCAAATGTAAGACAAAGTGGCCATGCAATTAATTTAAAAATGTTTTATAGGTAGTTTACAAATTAGGTATTATACAGGTAACTATAGATTATCTGTGACAACTGTAGATAATTGTCACAAAGCTGAAAATTAGCTGGGCTTACATATTCGGGGCTGTCTAGCTTTCTCAAAGAATATCCTAAATTAAAGTAATCATATTTGTATGATTTATAAACATTTTATCATTGTTAGAGGCTTAAAGTTAACATGTGCATTGTCAGAGGCTTAAACTCAATATATGCCATTTGCCATTCAATGGTAGACATAAATTTCCTTTCAAAATATAAAACCATAGCAACAAAAAAACTTGAACAAAATGACACCTAAGTCTTAAAGACAACCATGTTTCCAATGGTCTGAAAACACATTCTAGCTTAATGAAGTGTTGATGTTTAAGAACAGTTTACCAGGAAATTGTAAAACTAGAAGAATAATGCATGACATAGCTACAATAGAATGCTTAATTTCATAGAAAAACTTTCTCTTAAAACACCAAAAACACTTTGCTGGGGGTACTCTTTCTATCCCCTTCTGATGTCTATGTCAGAAGCTTTCTCTATCTCCTTTATACTTTAATAAAACGTTATTGCACAAAAAAAAACAAAAAACAAACATAAAAAACACTTTGCTGGTTACCAACATTTTCTAGACACTCTATTTTATTAGTAACAGAGGATGGCACCTTCATAAAGTCCTTAATTTCAAAGGGCAGCTTCTTGCAGGAATTCAGAAGTTTAGCTGTCTTAACTTTGATTTCAATCTCACCTGTTGGCATTTTCTTAAAGAGAGAGAGAAAAGACCTGTTTTAAAAACCATTCAATCAATCATGTACACAATGAATATTTATGAAACGCAAGCATTTATTTATATATGTAAAATGCAGGGGGTGCTAATAATGCATAGTCTAAAACATAAACGTCTTTGTATGACTCTGACGTTCTTATGCATCTTTGTGACTGATGAGCTCATTAACAAATGTCTTAACATGCATATTTATTTAGATGCTTATGTTCGCAGTGACGATTTTTAAATCTGTAGGTTCATCTGTAGAACCGGCAGAGCTTTAGTGCTAGATATCTAATAGATACACAGTCTCTGTTGCCTGAATGTGTTGATAGTGCAAGTGTACACAGGTAAAATTTAAATGTTTTTAAATTACTAACTGGATTCTCTTGTCCTGGAGGTCGGGAGATTACTGTCCCAGACACTTGAACCACAGATTCCATGGGGGCTTCACATAAAATCTTCTTCACCGAAGCAGCAGACTACAGAGTAAGAGGGAAAGACAGTTCCAACAAACACGTGAACTTAAAGAACTCTGCAGCAACTGTAGATTATGGCTTAGAAAAATGTTAATACTCATAGCTTAATTACCGTAAATACCAGGGTTGCCGTTAATGACTTTATTAAAGAATTTGGTTAAAAAAAAATTTGGGTAAATTGAATCCCCATTTTGACACCATATAAACGAGCATGTAAAACTAAGAATTAAATTTTTTTTTCCTTAAGAGAAAGTAAGAAGAATGATTAATGCAAACAAGCCCCACATACTTTAAAGGCAACTGTCTCCAGGGTTAAACTTAGGGACAGTTAAATCCAGGAGCAATGAGAGACTTCTCCTAGGTTAGCTATGCTCATCTCTGATACCTGAAAGATAACCCATGACTCTACTAATTCAAACATTAACAGCTGAGTAAATCCTATTTTTCTCAGTCATATAAACATTTGTAAATATTACCACAGTAGAAACCAATTAGCCAAGAAGCATGGCGAGAATTCTTTATCTAATTTTAATGGTAATTATTTTTGGAGCAGGTAGTACCTTCACATGGCTCAAATTCAAAGGGTACAAACAGATCTACAGTGAAGTCTCTCTCCTATCTTTTCCCTCCACCCCTTAATTCCCCTCCTGAGTGATACTCAACATTATGTGTCCTTTCAGGGACATTTTGTAACACACACACACACACACACACACACACACACACCCTTTTTAGTACAGATAATATCACTCTAAATGCTCTTCTGTATCCTGTTTTCATATCTAATAATACAATTTGGATTTTTTCCCATATTAGTATATAAAGAGCTTCTTCCAGCTTTTCCTTGCTATGAGGATGTACATTAATTTTTATACCAATCTTTTATTGGGGAACATCTAAGTTATTCCCAACTTTCCTTCAATTAAAAACAATTCAGCAGTGAACAATCTGGTATTATATTTGTGCCATTTTGCATCTATGTTAGTCTGTCTGTAAGATAACTTTAAGATAACTGATTGGTTCAAAGAATATATGCACTTATGCATATATTTGCATTTATTTGATATTCCCAAATTGCCCTCCATAGTACTAGTGCCAATTTGCACTCCCTCCAGGGATGTATTAGCATTTATTTTCCCAAACACTGTGTGTTGTCAATCTAATGCATCAAAAATAACAATTCTGTATAATTTTTTTTTTTTTGGCCATGCTGCATGGCTTTCAGGGTCTCAGTTCTTCAACCTTGGGCCATGGCAGTGAAAGCCTGGAATCCTAACCACTAGGCCACCAGGGAATCCCCCAATTCTGTGCAATTTAATTCATATTTTTCTGCCCATGAGTGAAGTTGGCACATTTTCATATGTCTACAGACATATATCTTCTAAAAAATTTTATGTTCACATTCTGCATTCATATTTCTACTGGATCACTGGTCTTAAAAAAATGTTTTTATTAATTTGTAGTAGCCTTTCAGATATTAGAGAAATTAGTCCTTTGTCTGTAACATGAATTTCTCATATTTTTTCCCAGTTTGTCATCAGTCTTAATGCTGCTTATAGTAGTTTTAACAAAAATCTCAAGCACACTGATCCAACACGCTCCGTTTATCCTAACCACAGCATCAAAGAAATTTTCAGGTAACAGGAGGACCCTTCTATTACCTCATCCTGGGGAATGACAACTTGAACAAGTCCATGGAAATCTCTTAGGACCAGGAAGATATTTTGCCTGATTAATGAAGAAAATGAACATATTAGGATAAAATCTCTGAGACCAAAATTTAAGCAGGCAAAACAAATTAAACAAAAAACCCATGCAATTTCTCATGTTCTTTTTTTATAATAAATACTGTGCTTCATAGCTATCTATATTCATGCAATTATCTACATAGCTTATTAAGGAAAAAAACACTTTTTTCATTTGCAATATCAATTTTTATTAGCTATATGTACAGCTTACTAATACTATCCAGATGACTTATTAATAAAAAGGCAGATTTTAAAAATTTTATTAGCTTAAGTCTCTGTAAGAAAATTTAACTAAATTTGGAAACTTTCTACATATTAATATCCAAAAGTAATATTTTAGGATATTAGAGACATCTGATTGGTCATTTTTTAAAATGCAGCAATATAAAATCTTACCTTTTTCTAAATATAAGACTCAATGGACATGTGTTTAAGCAAACCCTGGGAAACAGTGAAAGACAAGGAAGTCTGGTGTGTTGCAGTCCATGGGGTAGGCTTAGCAACTGAACACCACCACCAAGTATGAGATGCAATCTAAAATTTTCTAAAAGAGGTGTAATACTATCTCAAACCTCTACAAACCATCAAAAGGTCCCCAAATCCCAATATTTTAGCATTCAACCTACATTTCTCACATTGTTTTTAATACCAAGAAGAGGTACAGAAAAGCCTCCTCAGATTTTCATTTCAGGAGATAGAAGTCACCAAATGTATGGGTCAAATATCCACCCAATGGGGACGTATTTTTTAGGAAAGTCACACAATCTATGTGTTTTGCAGCTCTTCATTGTCAATTAATGTGCTATTCACATACGTTCTAGAAATATAGAGCCAAACAACAAAAAAATGGACTCAACATCAAGGAATCATTGTTCATATTTTTAGGCTTTTCTCTACCTAAATTTAGAATAAAATATGCTTTTTTATGCTATTGAAGCTTATCAGCTTACCCAATTACTGGTCCTAGGAACTCTTCAATCTTAGTAAATCTAGGGACATATCTGTCCTCTGGTGGATCACACTTCACTATTATACCCTTCAACAGATGTTACTGGTACTTACTGAGTGACACTATTTGAGTCTTTCAAAACAAAACAAAACTGAAAACTCAATGACTTCTGAGAATCCTGTAAGAACTGCAAAGTTTTTATTCTTCTGATGGTTAAAAATTAATAAAGGTTTGAAATTGCTTTGGGAAAACCATCATCATGTGTTCTTACACCACTTGCCTCTACCTTCGGAACTGAATCCATCCACACAAGGTGACTTCTTGGCCTAAGTGAGAAGAACGCAACTCTCCACACGTGTTGGTCCGGGCAACAAAGCTACTGAGTTCTATAAAAAAGAGGGGGAAAAAGGCAAGATTAAAAATATATCATTTGCAAATTTCTGAGAGTAGACTCTCAAATCATACCATCTTCGGAATTTCATGTCAATGGATAAAATCTAAAGTTGAAGAATGTAATCAATCACTATTAAAATTGCCTGCAAATGTGTCAAAATCCAAGTGACTGTCAATGTAAAATTGTGCCTGGTCTTAAGACTATAAATATTTTTGATCACTCAGCGTTTTCACTGATCTGTTCTTAATAGTGCACGTTCTTCCTCAGATGAAGTAAAAGTCCTGGAAATTACAGAAGTTTGTTGGTGCAGTAACTGGTTTTAGTATAAGAATCTAGAGTGAAACAGCTACTTGTACACTAAAAAACCCTATTCAAAGTATTCTCAAGTATGCAAGAATATTTTAGGCTTCTTATTTAGGCATCAATTAAATGAATAGACTATTTATGCGGTTACTCTACTGGTCTTTTTAAACTCCAGGGGAAAAAATAAACAAGGAAGAGGGTGAATAATGTGCTTCTACACATAAAGCTAGCCAGTCAAGACTTGAGGGGAAATGAAATAAAGCACTCTAGCTGCAGAGAACAAGAGGCAGTGCTGTTCAGAGGACAAAGCTCCATCCTGCATTCACCTGGAATTCTCCTCTGTGAACTCCGCACCAGCCTTCGGGAGGCAGAACTCCAGATCAATTGGGTGGTCCTTCTGGTGGGTGTGGATAATCCCCTGCACAGTCGGCTTAACCAACAGGAGAACATGTTGGAGCCGCAGGATGCTAAGACGCTCAGGAATCTCACGCTGCAGGTGTTGGATGGTGCTCAAAAGTCAGTTTAGGCACTATAACAAATCCCTTAAAACGCCAGGAGTTCCCACTGTCTTCAATATTGAAGCCCTTGTCCGCTGAACATTCAAATGCTCGTGTAGGTAAACTAGATAAAGGTACAAAGTCTTTGGGGCCTTTGGGGAAGGTGAATAGGGTAAAGATCTTTTAATACCCTTTCCCCCTTCTCAATGCATCCGTTTGCACTTCTGTTAGCAAAGGTAGGCCAGAAGCGACGAGCGAATGACTCCATACAGCAGCGCAGGGAGGGACACCACGACCGCGCAGAGGCAGCCAGGGGCCGGTCGGCAGGTACACGCCCTGCCCGTCTTTCCACGCTTTCCTGAAGGTTCCCGCGGGCAGAACCAGAAAATAGGAAAGAAATCAGCCCCGCATTTCAAACCTCCCAAACCTGTCGGCAGACCTCTAGTCTTCAGAAGGAGGAAGGCAAGCGAATCCACAATGTTTCTAGGGCCTGAAACCACGCACACATGCAGCTGGGCGCCATGCACTCCTGAGCCCACCCCGCGACGAACCCAAATTACGGTAGAAGGAGTCAACCAATCAGAGCGCGGGGGAGGGGGAAGGGTGTCGTCGCAGCCATCTTTACTACGGGAGGAAATTTGAAGGAGCGCTTAACGCTGGTAGAAAACCGGAAAATGACAGTGAGAGTAAGGAAATAGACGGTAACAGTTAGATCGTTCCCATGCCCTCAGTTAAAATGGCGACCGCAGTTGCTTCATTAGCTTCTCATACTTGGAATCGGCGCCGCGGAGACGTTCTGCGTCCGCCCGCAGAGCGAGTCGGGAAACGATTTTAAACGGAGGAGGCGGCTGACCGCCAAGTTGCCGCTTCTCAAAGGCGGGATTTCCGAGCTGGTGTTGGCCCCTGAGGGCTCAAGTGCCGAGGGGCGAGGTGGGACACATTGTCCCTTGCCCTTTCCCTCCGCGGGCTGAAGCAGACTCCTTAGGAGCGAGGGTCGCGGAGCTGGTGGTTGAGGCAGCGGATATATCCCTTCCGGCTTGAAGTGCCGAGCTGGCCTGGCGTCTTTGGGAGCGGAGGTCTTCTTGCTGGGCCCGTTTGCGTCGGTCTTGAAGCGTCTTGTGGTGGAGGAAGAGGGAATTTGGGAGGGCCGGGGGTTCCTCTGGACTTTCTCTTTGCTGTCCTTTTGGCGGCTTTTTTACTTCGAGGGATTTCAGTTTCGATGTAGTTTTGGATCCCGGCTTGAAGAATGATTCGTGAAGGGAATGGATGACAGCGTCGTCACAGCATTTTATTGGTAAGATGCTTTGTTATTGGTTCAACCATAGCAGTAAACTCTGTGTTTTGCACTGTCGTGTGGTCGTTACCCTTACAATACTTGGCTACTCAAGTGCGTTTCACAGGGCCTGCTTAGCTCTGGGCTAAGCATTTGTTGCAGGGTAAGGCCAATTTTGACTCCGTGTTGAAACTGTTTCTTTGACTTGCTTTTAGTTGCTTTTGTTATTATAATACATAGTGGCCTGCCTCAGAATTCTGCACCTCTGCCTGTTATTAAAGTGCCTTGGTTTAGGACCCTACCTGCCTGTAGATGACTGGAAGAAATTAGCACATCCCCTGCCTCAGGCTTGTTCTTCTAGGAGATACTTTCAAGATTAATGGCCTTTTTACTTTGTTTCCTCACCTCCTCCCATTGCTGATCTATAAAAGAACTGGCATCTAGCGCCAGATAAGATGGTCATTTTGAGATGTTAGTCTACCATCTTCTTGGTCAACTGGCTTTCTGAATAAAGTCATAAAATAAAGAAAATGTATTTTCTTTATTGGAAAATAATTGGCTTCCCTGGACACCTCATCTCTGAATAATTGACCTGTCTTGTGGTGAGCAGAGCGGAGCAAGCTTGGATTTGGTTAATACATTGGTGTTGGGACGATTGGACTTAAGTGTTGCTGGTAAGGTACAAAGGTGATTTAAGTAAGGGTCCATTTCTTCGCAGACTTAACCACAGGAAAAACAACTGAGTTGTAATTGTGTGTTCTGAATTGCAAGTGGAAGAGGAATTGAATGGGAGAAGTTTCTCCTGAGGATTTGAAACCTCTAGGATTTGGTCAAATAAATGGGTGTAGAGAAGTAGCCTTAATTGGTTGTAGGTTGAATCAAAAAGTCAGGAGTAGAGGCAGACAGGCAGGAGGGGTGAGCAGCCTCCTGCTGAGCCGTCTAGGCTGGGGACAGGTGTTTGGGTGTGGGGCAGCGGTTCTTAACCTTTTAAAGCATCCTCTGCAAGACCTTTCTTCACCCCCCTCTCCTACCAGTTACACGTGCATGAAACATTTTGCATCCGACCTTAGAGGGCTGTTAGGTTTTGGAAAGACCGTTTGTCCATGGATCTTGGGGTAAGAACTAAAGCAGTAAAGAGTGAACCCGAATAGGGTCAGATACTATGATCAGATAAGGTAGTGCCTTGAAGCCCAGACAGAGAGTTCTGACTCCATTTATTTACATGTGTGGGAATTGTTACAGGATCTCAAGTAAGGTAATGACAAGGTAAAAGAGGTGTCTGTGGAAAAACTAGTCTTGGGTTGGGGAAAGGGTTGGGTTGGGGAAGGGGGCTTGGGTTGGGAATAAGTGGCTAAAATTAAGAATGGAAGTGAAGGTGATTTGAGAGGGCTAATAAGTATATTTTTAAGAAATATGTCAGAATTTTATGGTAATTTGGATGTAAAACTTGAGTGAAGAGTAAAAGATGACTAAGGTGTATTTTAATGGGCAGCGAGAAAAATGAGAAGGAAGAATTGGAACTGTTACTGAGAAACAGGGTAGTTGGAGAGGAAAGATTGGTCGTGGAATAATGTTTAGCTTTGACCTTAATGAGTTCGAGGACACAGAAGTTCAGTGTTTTACAGGAAATTGGAAATGCCGCTGCAAATGTATGAGACCAGAGGAGTCACATATTGAATGAATGTTTCCTTATGGAAAACAAGTGATTTCAGGGTTTGGGGAGACACCAGTTGTTGTAACTGGAGGAAGCGAAGGAGTCAGCAAATGAATCACAAGAAACTATAAGAAACAAGGAGGAGAAATAGTTGAGTGTTTGAAAAGAACAAGATAGCAGAAAGTTTAGAGGAATAACGATGAGCAAACTTGATGACCCAGTGATTGTCCACGATTTTCACAAAAACATTGTTGACAGTCTTCAAAGGGCAGTGGTAATCTTCAAATTGCAGTGTCTTTATAGTGATAGATACATAAGAGATTGCTGAAGATATCTAGTAAAATATTTATTAGTAAATGGAGGCAATAGTTGTATACCACAATTCCAGGAAATTGGTCTCAAAAGGAATGAGATGAATAGGTTTTAAACAAAAAATTTTTAGTGTTAGGAATATGAAAATATGCTCAGCAGTGGAAGAAAAGTATCCTGTGGAATAGAGATAAGAGATGATAGAGGTTTGAAATAACCATGGAAGATTGTGCCTAAGGGGGATGTGAAGGAATATGGAGATTGAGAATATCAGTTGATGGATTGACTTTAGAAAGCAAGTAAAAGGACCTCTCTCCTTATAGTTGGAAGAATATTAGGACAGTAAAATATTGAATCAAGATATATTTTTAATCTCTTTAATTATCAGACAGGGCAAAAAATACTCATTGTTGAGGGAATGAGAAAATAAAATAGATACAAATCATTTTCTGATCTTTAATGCATGGATTTGGCTATTTCACATAACTGTAGTATTAAATGCTCAAGGGAAATGTTTTCTCAAAACCAATCCTTTAAGCTAGTAGTCTTTCTCTCCCTTTTGTTGTTGTTTAGTTGCTAAGTCGTGTTTGACTCTGCCACCCCATGGACTACAGCATGCCAGGCTCCTCTGCCCTTGTCTCCTGGAGTTTGCTCAGATTCATGTCCACTGTGTCAGTGATGCTATCTAACCATCTCATCCTCTGCCATGCCCTTCTCCTTTAGCCTTCAATCTTTCCCAGCATTGGGGTCTTTTCTGTTGAGTTGGCTCTTTGAATCAGGTGGCCAAAATATTGGAACTTCAGCTTCAGTATCAGTTCTTCCAATGAATATTCAAGGTTGATTTGCTTTAGGGTTGACCCTTTTGATCTCCCTGCCATCCAAGGGACTCTCAAAGTCTTCCCCAGCACCACAGTTCGAAAACGTCAGTTCTTTGGCGCTCAGCCTTTTTTATGGTCCAACTCTCACATCCATACATTACTACTGAAAAAAGCATAGCTTTCACTAAACGGACTTTTGTTGGCCAAGCGATGTCTCTGCTTTTTAATACACTGTCTAGGTGTAATACACTTCGTCCAAAGAGTATCTTTAATTTCATGTTTGCAGTCACGGTCTGCAGTGGTTTTGGAGTCCAAGAAATCTGTCACTGCTTTCACTTTTTACCCTTCTATTTGCCGTGAAATAATGGGACCAGATACCATGATTTTAGTTTTTTGAATGTTGAGTTTTAAGCCAGCTTTTTTCACTCTGGTCTTTCACCCTCATTAAGAGACTTTTTAGTTCCCTTTCACTTTTTGCTGTTAGAGTGGTATCATCTGCATATCTGAGATTGTTGATATTTCTCCAGGTAATCTTGATTCCAGCTTGGGATTCATCCAGCCTGCATTTCCCATGATGTACTCTGCACAGACTTTAAGCAGGGTGACAATATATAGCCTTGTTGTACTTCTTTCCCAATTCTGAACCTGTCCTTTGTTCCATGTCTTGTTCTAATTGTTGCTTCTTGACCCACATACAGGTTTCTCAGGAGACAGGTAAGGTGGTCTTGTGTTCCCATCTTTTTAAGAATTTTCCACAGTTTGTTGTGATACACACAAAGGCTTTAGCATAGTCAGTGATACAGAAGTAGATGTTTTTATGGAATTCCCTTGCTTTCTCTGTGATCCAGTGAATGTTGGCAATTTGATCTCTTGTTCCTCTGCCTTCATGTACTGTTGAAACCTAGCTCGAAAGATTTTGACATCATCTTACTAGCATGTGAAATGAGCTCAATTGTATGGTAGTTTGAACATTTTTTGGCCTTGCCCTTCTTTAGGATTGGAATGAGAACTGACCTTTTCCAGTCCTGTGGCCACTACTGAGTTTTCCAAATTTGCTGACCTATTGAGTGCAGCACTGTAAAAGCATCATTTTTAAGGATTTGAAATAGCTCAACTGGAATTCCATCACCTCCTCTTGCTTTGTTTGCAGTAATGCTTCCTAAGGCCCACATCACTTCACACTCCAGGGTATCTGGCTCTAGGTGAGTGACCGCACCGTTGCGGTTATCTGGGATCCTTAAGACCTTTTTTGTATAGTTCTTCTGTGTTTTCTTGCCATCACCGCTTAATCCTCTCTGCTTCTGTTAGGTCCCTGCTGTTTCTGTCCTTTATCATGCCCGTCCTTATGTGAAACGTTCTGTTGGTATCTCCAGTTTTCTCTCACCTAGATAGACTTTAATTTTTTTTTGTGGAATTTATAGCATTTCTCTTTCAAGAGGAGTCAAATTTAGTTGGGCTTATTTTGGCTTGAAATTGATGC